GGCCGGGCTCCAGATCCTTCTAATGAGGATTTGCTGTACCAAACCACAGGCACAATGCGTGTTTAAACCCTGTGATCCATCGGTTTCAGGACCCATATATTCCTAGTCTAAGCCTCTCGCCTGAACTCGCGCATCTCACACACCCAGCTGCCAAGCCGGCCTTTGCTCCAGGGTCAGGGGGAGCCCTCGGCTCAGGGCCGGGAAGCAGGCGGCTTCTTAGGCAGCCATCAGCCCTTCTCTCCAGCAGGCAGGTTACTAAAGTGACTTTTTTTCCTTTATCAGTCTGAGGATATACCTTAAAAGCTTTTTATAATCCTATTGTAGAGTTTGAATTATTTACAATAATAATAATAATAATAATAGCAAAACCTCCCCAGAACTTGCAGCAGGCCGGCTTCCGAGCTGAAAGGCGGAGGGAGGGGAGAGCAGGGGCCGCAGGGCTGAGGCTGTGCCCGGGGGGAGCCCCTCCTTCCCAAACGTCAGGTGAGGCCTCGGGCTGTGAGACACCGAGTTAGAGCCGCGCCTCCTGGTCTAGTGGACGGTGATTCACTCTGCTCCGCCCGGGGCTTGGGGAGGGGGCAGCTCCAGGCCTGGGAGGAGGCGGGAGCGGGGGGTGCGGGGTGAGTCCAAAGTGTGCGGATCCTCCGGCTGGAAACTCATTGTAATAAACCCTGCTTCCCCTTTCACCTCTCCCGCCGCCCGACTTGCTACCTCATTCCGGGCTGTACCCCAGTTCCCTCCCGATGGGCCGAGGAACCCCCATTGGGCCTGAAGCCCCCTATAAGGCCCCGCCAGCATCGAACACGAGAAAACGTGTCCACAGAAACACGAGCACGACAGCGCGCACAGCTCTTCCAAGAGGGGGTGGGCGGCCCTGAAAAGGGCCTTTGGGGGGACAAGAGGCGGGGGACGGGCTCAGCCGCCGAAGCCGTAGAGGGTGCGGCCCTGGCGCTTGAGCGCGTAGACCACGTCCATGGCCGTGACCGTCTTGCGCTTGGCGTGCTCCGTGTAGGTGACGGCGTCGCGGATCACGTTCTCCAGGAAGACCTTGAGCACCCCGCGCGTCTCCTCGTAGATGAGCCCGGAGATGCGCTTGACGCCGCCGCGCCGCGCCAGGCGCCGGATGGCGGGCTTGGTGATGCCCTGGATGTTGTCGCGCAGCACCTTGCGGTGGCGCTTGGCGCCGCCCTTGCCCAGGCCCTTCCCGCCTTTGCCGCGACCGGACATGGTGACTGCGGAGAAATGGCGAAGCTGCAGCCGAAACCCTATTTATAGCCCGGCCGGTGGGGGTGGGCGGGGTCGGGGGTCAGTCTCCGCCCCGCGGGTCCCGGGTCTTTGGGCGGGGCCGGCGGAGACAAAGGCGGCTCCGTGCGCCCCGCTCTTTCCCGGATCCACTGCCAAGGCCCCGTGGAAGGACCTTTTAAAAATGCTGTTGTGTATCAACGTCACGAGATAATTGTACCTGTCAGACTAGCGTGTCTTTCCGGTTTAAATTATTGGGGTCTTACTCCCCGCGGAGCAGGCAGAGGCCATGATGGCACATGGGCTGGTGCTTTAAACGCCGCCTAATGTGAGAAGTCCCGGCTCCTTTCTCCCGAGAGGCGTCTTTGTACACTTTACAGGAGGCACGTAGCTCCAGGGATGCAGGAAAGAGCTGGAATGACCTGGGGTGCTTGTCCTTGGGGGCCTGGACCCCACTGCGTGGGCCTCAACGTTCCCTGCACCCCGCCTTCTGAGGTCCTGGACCCGGGTTCTCTCATCTTGACTTTCCTTTCATTTTTAGAATGGAAATGTTGGTGCTTGGCATCCGAAAGTAACTTTTTGGTTAAGCATTGAACGGTCGGCGAGGAGGAATAAAGGGTTCTCTGAAAAGTAACCCCGGGTAATCGTATCGTCAGTTCTAGCTGGGCAGGTCTTGGCGGGAGGACACGCTCCAGCCACAAACCTTCTTGCCGGAAGCCCGCCCTGTGCATTATTATTCTGTTGCACCTCGGCCACCACACCTTTGACCTGCCCAAACCAACCCCTTTTCATTTTCAGGCCCCTGGAGGTTTAACCACCTACCCTCCAGGGAGCACATAATCTTTTTAATAGTTTGGATGCACGCCTTGTTTTCTCCGATCTTTTAAATTTTTTTCTATTGATTTCAGAGAGGAAACGGGGAGGGAGAGAGAAACATTAATCTGATCTTTATGTAATCTTCCTCCCATCTCCTCCTCAATTGTAAATGCATAGAAAACACAAAACTGTTATCCCGAGAGCATTTGAGAACTTGCCTCCCAGCTCATGTCCTGGTGTACAGTTCTCTACAGCTTTGGCGATTTCTTATGCCGACAACTGTCATTTCCTAAGTAAAGTAATCTTCACACCCCGGGGTTTATTGTCCCCAGCGACCTTGAACCTTTCAATCTGGTATTTTGCAATCTGGTCCTACATTCCTTTGCTTTCATCATGTCCGTATCTCTATATCAAATACAAGTGTTTGATTTCTGTCGTCAATGCTAAGTTTACATGAAAACATTTAAATGTATATACAGAGTTATGCAAAAGTAGGTTTACAGTTGTGGGTATGCAGAACACAGTTTATTCTTGTATTATTATTTATTAATGATTGTATTCTCATTCATATGAGCAACTGTAAGCCTACGTTTGCCCCACCCTGTGTTTCCCATATTTAACCATCAGTCTGCATCACACTTCCATCCCCCACACACAGTTCCCCCTCGGACCACAGTTTCTGGAAAAGTATTCAGAACCACCTTTGAGCATTTGAAATGTGGCTGAAGGTGAGGAACCGAAATATAAATTTTATGTAATTTTAATTGCTGTTTTCAATTTAAAAGCAGATGCTGCACTGAGTTATTGAAACTGTTGAGCTACATTTGAACCACTTGGGCACGTGAAATTAATTTTCTCGGCAGGACAATTTGGCGAATGTAAATGTATATCAAGTATTTCGAGAAAAAAATTGATATGATTGCATAAAACATGCACCCAGTTTGGAAGATTTAGACTGAAAAGAAGGGATGTAAAATATTACAATAATAATGATTACGTTTTAAAATAAGAGTGTTTTGGATATTTCCGGTTAAATAAAATATGGGGCCAAAGGCAGTCGGGTAACAGGCTTGTCTGCCACCCTTAGCTCAGGAGGGGAACAGGGGCCAGGGCTTCAGGGCGGAGGGAGGGCCCGTCACCAGGAGGAGCAGGGGTGGGTCACTGGCTGTCTCCTGCCCTCGGTCACTCGGTCACTCGGTCACTCGGTCACTCGGTCACTGGGATGGGAGTTACCTGTCGCAGTGGATCGCTTTCCGGGACAGGCCCGTTTATATTCTCTCAGGTGAGGAAGAGGCACACGGTTTTAGTGCTTCTGCTGGGAGTCGATGGACTGTAGCTCACAATAATCCATGTGGCAAAGTGGCTCCTTTTGAGGTGGCATATTCTGCAAGTAAGGATGGATACTAGAATTCTTAGAATTGTTCAGGGGCAGGATATCAGGAGTTGAAAGCTACTTGCAATCAATGTGGCTAACCTTTTTGTTCCAAATGGGTTTGTTTTTTGAGAGTAAGCATCCAAACCTGATAACTAAAGCAATTATTGTCTAGGAGACCTTAAGCTTCTGTACGGGAGACTTTGCATTCCAGTAGTGCAAAAACAAGACAAGCACCCATTCAGGGGAAGTACAAAAGCATGTCCATGAAAAAATGTATTGTTTCTGGAATTTAGGTAAAGACCAAGAGAAACGGAGATAAGAAAGTCAGGTTTCACCCTGGCTGGTTTGGCTCGGTGGATAGAGCCTGGGCCTGAGGACTGAAAAGCCCCAGGTTAATTCCAGTCTGTGGTGAGCCGGCACGGCCACGGCATACTCAGCCCCAGGGAGCCTTATGTGCCATGGCAGCTCAGCCAGGTTCAGTGAGCCCGAGTGAGGGTGAGGAAGGATAGAGAAAAGACAGACAAGAGAATGAGCTGGGTCTGGGTGGGACGCTGCTCCCGGATGGAGACAGCGGCACGGACTACAAGCCGTGTCTTTATTTTAAAGCCAGATTCCACCCGGCAAAGTAAGGGCGTGATCAAGATGTTTACAACATTCTCGTGGGTTTCGATTCTACTCAATTACATGCACCTGAACTCTATCAAGCCCACGTCACTCAGACACGTGGGGCCACGTGTTCGAACCATAGGTTCAAGCTCACAACTATAGCTGTTGGCTATAATTGTGCTGGGAGGGCTCTGCCCTCCAAGCTGAGACTTGCATGCGGCCATGAGAGGACTGTGCCCTCTCGTTAGTCTGAGGCTTGAACCTGTCCAAACACTGTAGCCACTTTCCACAGCAGTCAAGGGCACATGCCAGGGTTGAGGGCGTGGTCCTCAGTAGGGGCGTGCAGGGGGCAGCTGATCAATGATTCTCTCTCATCATTGATGTTTCTCTCCCTTCCTCTCTAAAATCAATAAAAATATATTTTTTAAAAAAGAAAATCAGGTTTCACTGGGGGGATAAGGACACATATGTAATACCTTAATAAAGAAAAATTTTTTAAAAAATCAGGTTTACTAGTATTAACATGTATAGCTCATATATCAGGTATACTTGGGAGAGACCCAGGAAAGATTAATTCATAGACATGGCTGAATGTGGGAAGCTGATATAGGGTTAAGCCTCGGACTGACCTGCGGGCAAAGTCATAAACAATTCCCAGCTTAGAGAGCACAGTCCTCTTAGCATAATTAGGCTTGACCTTGTATAAAGCTCCCTAGATCTTACTCGGGAAGCTAATGGGCTGAGGGAAGTGCAACAAGAACAAAAACAAGTGAAACTTATAACAGTGTAACTTACTGTGTAACTATAGAAACCACTACCTTGTTTACCTCTCACTATAAAATAAAGGCTCAGCTTGCCTTGGGATCTTTTCTCTGTGGCCTCAGCCAGGCACAGGAAGATCCACGGAGGCTAAGGAAAGGTAGAGAGTTCTGAACGCTGTCTCCGTGTAAAACCTTCTTCGCCGACTCCGTCCACACCTTTGGGAACCCCTGGACCCCATGGGGCTGGACCCCAGCAACTGAGAGCTCCCGTTTATAAAGCATCTTCAACAAAGCAGAGTCTTTTTTTTTTTTTTTTTTTCAGAAAGAACAGGAGAAAGGATGCAGCTTTAGGCTTCTAAGGATGGCATACTGGGGAGGTGAAATATATGTGAGGAAAGTAAGAGTCAGCTTCGTTTGCAGATTCCTCCTGTGCCCGTGGGCTGTCACCTGTCACTGAGGACCCAGTGGTCTCCACAGTGTATATCCTGACTTTAGGCAGGAAAAGGGGATGGAAGAGAGAGCTCATCCTGCACCTGATGCTTCAGCTCAAAATCACTTTTGTGTCCCAGAGGCATACTGTGGGGTGACTACTCTGGTGTCCTTCACTTTCCTGTACACAGTCTTGACAGTCTCCTTTTGAACTAGGTTTTCTCCCCGATGGTTCCCTTAACAATTAATTCTCCGTAAGAAACGTTTACTGTGCTTTTGAGGCGTGGTGTATGGTTTTGGATTTTGCATGTTGGTAGCTGTCATAAGCTCAGGGCACAAAGACCAGTTTCTCTCTGTGACATAAACCAGGCCTCCATGTGCTGCTGAGGCCGCCACAGCGAAGCCAGTGAACGAGGCTCGCTGACGTACTCCTCTCGTTTGATTTCCCTGCACTCGGACCCCGAGGATTGTAAGTCTGTTTCTTTCTCACTACAGGAGGGTGTTACGGCTGCACACGACTTCGGTGGGTTTGCAATGAGCCTGTGTCAGTTCAGGGGTCACAACAGGCTGATCCATGAGCTACAGAGACCAGGACACTGGCCCAGAGCACTGGTGGGGGTTCCGGCTTTATTTGCAGGAACAGGCCAGTCTGGTTCTTAGGCCCCCGGCTGTGCTTGAACTGGTCTTGTTTGCTTCCTTGAGAAATGTGATCAGCTTCCCACTAAAGGCGGATATAAAATGAAAATGTCTGTTGAGTTTATCCTCCACTTCAAAATGAGTCCATGAAAGCCAGGTTCATTCAGTGCTGACTTTAGAGGGCTTCATTGTTTTCTGATGAGACAAATGACCAAGGGACGAAAAAATGTTAAGAATGCCATCACCAGTGAAATTTAAAAAGCCCGCCCTGACGTGTGATTGGTCAGCTATCCCTCCTTTGTTCTATCATTTCTTTTATTCATACTTGAGGCTGACAGTGAGTTTACTGGAATATGCGGCATATATGTGAGAAATACCCAGCAGACATGTTCGCAGAACAATCCCTAGCATGTCACGGGCAGTCCTAACTGATGTCCTGGCACGCAGTTGCAATTGCCTTGGGTACAAGGGAACGCCAGAAATTAGTTTCATGAATCTTTCCTAACATCCTTGCAGTGTGACCGATGGCTTAAAAAAATGGACTAAGCACTTTGTGGCGGGTACATTAAAACCTTACCAAGCGGCTGTGAGCAAAATGTAGATTTAGACACGTCTCCTGGCCTGAAAGACTTCACCTTCTCAGGAAAAGTGGGCAGCTCCTCCCCTTCATACTGGGGAATGCAAGAGACTGAAGCCTTTCACTTTCAACCCCAAAGCATGTTGCACTGATCGCCTTAATTATAATATGGAGCACCTACAGCATTTTCACTTATGGTGACTTGGTTTTTATTATATCTTTCAAGTGGCTAGGAATTGCTGCAAGCATGATTTCAATGAGCTGCTAAGGCCGGGAAAATGCAAGCCCTTTCAGAGAGAAGGTGGGTGGCTCTGAAAAGAGCCTTTGGTTTAGTTGTTTGCGTTGTTGCCAAAAAAGGCAGGGTCCTTACTTGCCCTTGGCCTTGTGGTGGCTCTCGGTCTTCTTGGGCAGCAGCACGGCCTGGATGTTGGGCAGCACGCCGCCCTGCGCGATGGTCACCTTGCCCAGCAGCTTGTTGAGCTCCTCGTCGTTGCGGATGGCCAGCTGCAGGTGGCGCGGGATGATGCGCGTCTTCTTGTTGTCGCGGGCCGCGTTGCCCGCCAGCTCCAGGATCTCGGCCGTCAGGTACTCCAGCACGGCCGCCAGGTACACGGGCGCGCCCGCCCCGACGCGCTCGGAGTAATTGCCCTTGCGGAGCAGCCGGTGCACGCGGCCCACGGGGAACTGCAGCCCGGCCCGCGAGGACCGCGTCTTGGCCTTGGCGCGCGCCTTGCCGCCCTGCTTGCCGCGTCCAGACATGCTGACCAGTAACAGGAGAAGAGCAGCCACAGGAAAAAGAAAAGGAAAATGTGCGGGAGGAAGCAACAGGACGCAAGTTATAGTCCTGGGTGGGATTGTTAAACGCGAGATGGGATTGGTTCAAAATTATCTCAGTCCCCGCCGACCAATGAGAAAGATGATGTGATGCAAGTGAATTTACATGAGCTCGTCACTGACACATCATCAAATCAGATCTGGAGATGCTTGAGGACCTCATTTGCATAAATTCTCTATAAAAGAAGACGCTGTAGACCCAAGCGGACATTTTACAGTTTTCCGCTTTTCTTTGCAGCTTTTCTCTTTTGCAGTAAAATGCCGGAACCAGCCAAGTCCGCGCCCGCCCCGAAGAAGGGCTCCAAGAAGGCGGTGACCAAGGCGCAGAAGAAGGACGGCAAGAAGCGCAAGCGCAGCCGCAAGGAGAGCTACTCGGTGTACGTGTACAAGGTGCTCAAGCAGGTGCACCCCGACACCGGCATCTCGTCCAAGGCCATGGGCATCATGAACTCGTTCGTCAACGACATCTTCGAGCGCATCGCGGGCGAGGCGTCGCGCCTGGCGCATTACAACAAGCGCTCGACCATCACGTCCCGCGAGATCCAGACGGCCGTGCGCCTGCTGCTGCCCGGCGAGCTGGCCAAGCACGCCGTGTCCGAGGGCACCAAGGCCGTCACCAAGTACACCAGCTCCAAGTGAGGCGCGAGCGAGCGGCCTGACTCCTGACCCCAAAGGCTCTTTTCAGAGCCACCCACATTTTCAGCATAAGAGTTGTAAGGACTTCACTGGCCACTCTGACTGCTAAACAGGATGCCAAAATGGTATCGTTTTGATTATATTTGTGTAAGTGTCTTGATGTCTTGTGCTTGCAACGCGAAACACACTGGGACAGACGTTTGGTTAAAAATTAGGGGGGTATTTAACTGGTTTAGTTGTAGACTTTTAATTTCTTCCCTTGGGCACTTTGGCCTCAAAGGTGCCTAAAGCACTGACATGCTGTCTCAAGTGCTGCGAATTCCTGTGTCTTACACATCCTTGCATGGAAAGGGAAGAGGACTTAGGTTTGTTAATAATCCTTGGTGGTCAGGGAAAGAGCTTCATCCTCGTTCCAGTGGGTGTGTTTGCTTCAAGCAACATAACTTCCCAAAACAACACGTGCGGGATGGTTAATGAGCATGAAAGTTGAAAAGGGTCTCATTGGCTCCAGGTTAGTTCACGAATTCCCTGAAATTGTTTACAATAGTGCATCTACCTCCGTGTTCTTCCCCTCCCCCATCCCCCACCCTGACCAGAAGAGGAACTGACTGTGGCTTTGTTTCCAATTCTAAACGTGCTGTAATGCAGGGTGCCAGGCAGAATGTGCCGCCCTGGTGTATCCACCTCCTGCGCTTTGGATTGTGATGGGTTAGGTTACCTGACAAAGGCACTGCCGCTGCAGCTGAAACGGTAGCTGCGAATTCCCTGTGATTTAAAATGAGATGCTCCAGGTGATCCCAGCGAGGGAATCACAGTGCTGAACTAGTCAGGTAGCAGCCGGAGGAGGATTTGCCCAGAGACCTGCTTTGGAAATAAAGAGCTCAGGGGGGAGGGAGCCCTCCAAGAGCTGGAATGGGGAGCAAACACTGTCGCTTGCAGCCCCACAAGGGAATGCAGCCCCCCGACACCTTGGTTTTAGCTCAAGGACGCCCAGGTGCAAATGCTGATCTACACAACTATAAAGTTTTAAGTGTGTATTTCGCCCAAGATTGTGATACTTCATCAACAGACAATAGAAAATGAATGCCCTTACATACATTTAGTAAGTATTGCCTAATGTGTTCTGTGATGTTTTTAAGATTATAAATTTATACCTGTAACTATTATAAAAATCAATATAGATGCCTGTAAACACTTGGAGTGCGGGAAACGAGTTAAGTCGGCTCGCGTGAATTGCGCGTACTCCGCGGGAGCCGTCTTTAACTCGGTTCATATAGATTTGCGGTGGAGTGCGGGAAACGTGTAAACTCGGGCCGATTGTAACTGCGTATTACCAAATATTTGTTTGTAATCCACCCTTTTGGTGGATGGAACAAAACCAAAAGACAGAGCCATCTTATATTTTGGCGGGAAATTCACCCGCACTCCAAGTGTAAACTTTATAAATATTTCAGGCTCTCATGATTTTGAAATTGATCTTATTTGAACAGCAGCAACCTGCATTTTCTTTTATATGGGAGTCTACAGTGTCTGAAGATAGCAGCAGAAGTCTAACTGTATGGAGAAGTACTTCATCTACTGCAGTATTATTACTTCTGCTTATACTACTGCTTCAAAAAGCTGGTCTTCATTATAGGCAACCTATAGGAGTCATGGTAAAATGTCCATAAATAACTGTGTGAACTGTAAATCTCCCTAAAATATTTAAATGTATTATAATGATTTCATGTGTTTTAACACAAGTAGCAGCGAAGTAGATTTTAGGAATATTTTCATTTTACAAGTGTTAGGGTCGCCAAAGGAGGAACGCACGAGGCCAAAAGTGGTAAGGAATTATAATTTATGAGGCCATCTGGATAGCAGATGGGCTGAGCCCCCAAAATGGTGCCAGCACCCAGGGATGGGGTAGGGGATTTTCAGAGATTTTAATGGACTCTGGGGCTTTTTTTTTGGCGGAGAATTCCATGGGCGGGTCTAGAGGGGAAAGGTAATGGTCTTAGCAAGTGGACTGTGGTGTAAGAGAAAGGGAATGTGGGTTGTGAATTCATCTCAAGGCCAGTTCCTAGGGGAGGGGTATTGATTCAATGAGCTGATCAGACCCAACAATAAGTAAAACAACCGAGGGTGTGAGAACCACAGTTCATGGGCCTGGCAGGACTCAAGTTCCAACCCCAGTCTTCTGATGCTGTGGCCGTCCAAAGACGTCTACATAGAATTAAAAAACACTTTTAAGAGATCTACGGATTTCTTAGCACCTTGGGAAGTACCTTTACATAGGGTTTCTCCTCTCCCCAGCACCCGCTACCTGTTTTCTTGGTGTGTGTGTTCCAATTCATCTTTCATGTTTCCTGAGTCGGCCAACAGGGAAGCTTGGCTAGGCTCACAGGTGGGCCTGCAGCCTGCACTTCCCTCTGGGTCCGGGGAGCTGAGTGTGATAAGCCCTCCCCAGCAGGCCCCCTCCAGAGCAAGGACCATGTCTTCCAGGGTGCCCAACGTGCCTGAGGCTGAGAGGGGCACCCTAAGCATATTCTTTAAGATGTAAAACAGAACCAGCCCTTTACAGCCAGGGCGGCGAGGTGCCCTGGTGTCCGGAAAACAGAAAACGATGGGTTATTTTTATAAAGATAATTTAATAAACTTGACACAGGTTTGGGGAAACTGAAAAGCAAGAGAGAACTGGTGTGCCAAGGACAAGGGGAGGAAGCAGGAGCCAGAGCAGGGCTCAGAGCGCGCGCACACACGTCAGTTATTAAAGTCAAGAAATCTGGAGGGGAGTCCCGGTAGAGAGAAGGCTCAGATCTTGGGAGCAGGCGCTTATAAAGCTGATGCTGGAAGCCTAGAATCCAGACTGGGGGTGGGGGGTGGGGGGCAAAGCCAGGAACTGGAACCAGTTGTTGTGATAGAGGGGAGGGCATGTCATCAGAATGGAGCCGCCATTGTCTGATAATTCTCCTCTAACTATGGTGAGAAGTTCTCTTACGGACCCTGGGACACTGGAGGCTGGAGAAAGGTAACATGCCGCCATGGGTCCACGACTCAGAAAGCAGACACATTGGAGAACAGACCAAGGACAGGACACGCTTGGACTGGGTGGCTGTGCTGGGACCCCGGCCCCTCCGGGAGTGTTTCTCAGGAGCGCCGACCATTCTCTGGGCCCAGGAACAGGCTGAGCTGTTGGTAACATCACCGAGTAGACACCTTGTTATCGGGCTGTGAGCTCCTGAAGGCCGGACTGCAGACTCTACCCTCCCGTTTCCCTGCTACACATGCAGCCCGCAGCGGGTAGCTATCTTCTCCCTGGTGTGCATCGTGTGCATCTAACCAGCCAACTGCGCGGGGGGGGGGGGAGGGGGGAGTCAGAGTAGATTCTTGTGGGTGGCCTGCTGGTCTCCGTGCTGCCGGCAGGATTGGAATAAACGCTCATGTGGAATTCAACCCCGTCTCTGCTTAATTGGCAGAAGTAGTGACCGGCAGCCCGGATCGATCCCTTGGTTGTCCGGTAACAGTTGCCCCAGAAGGTGAGACCAGAGCTGACACAGAAGCAAACTAGAGCGCCCCCTTGTAACTGCCCCCGGCCAGCCCCGCTAGCTGTGCCTAGAAGCGACTGCAAATGAGTGTGGTGCGCACAACTCCAGCCTGTTTGCCCTAAAAACAGCAAGTCCCGGGGGCACTCGAGGCAGAGGAACAGCCTACTGTACTGAGTACGCGGGGCTCCCACACAGGTCTTCCTAGAATGGACAAGGGCTCAGCAAATTCAGGAGGCATTGTGCTTGGAACAGAAAGGCATGCAATTCTTTTGCTGAGACTGTAAGTTAGGCGTCCACACCCTTAGATAAAACGCTTAGCAAGGGCTCTAAAGGCCGCGGGCACCGGGCGGGGGATGGGGAAGTCACTGGAGCCACACAAAGGACGGCGGGCGCAGAGCCACAGCGACACCTAGAGGACGCTCGTGGAGGCTGCCAGCGAGGCGCTTCGGGGTGACGCTTTACTGAAAACAGACCAGACATTTCAGGGTCGATTTGGAAGCTTTATAAAGCGTCTCCTCCAGCCCCCAGTCCCTGCGAAAACGTTACAAAATGGCGACAAGCAGCTTGAGGGGATTAGACAGTGAGACATGGGTCTCAGTTCACGATCACAAACACTCATGGGACCCTCGTGCTGGGCACTATTGCCCAGAGAGGTGGCGCTGCACCTACCACCTGGGGGACTCGGGGATCCCCTCCCGAACGTTGGCACGAATGCTCAGGACTTGGACTTGGCAGTGCACAGCTCTCTGTGGGAAAACGTGGGTGGCTCTGAAAAGAGCCTTTGGGTCAGGAGTCGGGCCGCTCGCTCGCGCCTACTTGGAGCTGGTGTACTTGGTGACGGCCTTGGTGCCCTCGGACACGGCGTGCTTGGCCAGCTCGCCGGGCAGCAGCAGGCGCACGGCCGTCTGGATCTCGCGGGACGTGATGGTCGAGCGCTTATTGTAATGCGCCAGGCGCGACGCCTCGCCCGCGATGCGCTCGAAGATGTCGTTGACGAACGAGTTCATGATGCCCATGGCCTTGGACGAGATGCCGGTGTCGGGGTGCACCTGCTTGAGCACCTTGTACACGTACACCGAGTAGCTCTCCTTGCGGCTGCGCTTGCGCTTCTTGCCGTCCTTCTTCTGCGCCTTGGTCACCGCCTTCTTGGAGCCCTTCTTCGGGGCGGGCGCGGACTTGGCGGGCTCGGGCATGGTCGGGAGCTCAGCGGACTCGTTCAGCTGGAGAGTGCAGTGGATAGAGAAGAGTTTGACCTATCCGCCTCATATACGAAGTGGTATGCAAATAAGGTGTTAAATTCTTGTGTGTAATTCGTGCATATTCAGAGTGACGTCATAAGGTTTGCCCAATCAGAATGCCAAGTAGAGCTGCAGATTTAGCCAATGACACAACTGCTTTTTCGCGCCCAGACATGTTTATAAAAAGTGCCACCGCTGCAGTTTCACTTTGCTGTTTGCTTTTTGTTGACACATTAAGTTCAACATGTCCGGACGCGGAAAGCAAGGAGGGAAGGCTCGCGCCAAGGCCAAGACGCGGTCCTCGCGGGCCGGGCTGCAGTTCCCCGTGGGCCGCGTGCACCGCCTGCTCCGCAAGGGCAACTACGCCGAGCGCGTCGGGGCGGGCGCGCCCGTGTACCTGGCGGCCGTGCTGGAGTACCTGACGGCCGAGATCCTGGAGCTGGCGGGCAACGCGGCCCGCGACAACAAGAAGACGCGCATCATCCCGCGCCACCTGCAGCTGGCCATCCGCAACGACGAGGAGCTCAACAAGCTGCTGGGCAAGGTGACCATCGCGCAGGGCGGCGTGCTGCCCAACATCCAGGCCGTGCTGCTGCCCAAGAAGACCGAGAGCCACCACAAGGCCAAGGGCAAGTAAGGACCCTGCGTTTTTGGCAACAACGCAAATAACTAAACCAAAGGCTCTTTTCAGAGCCACCCACCTTCGCACTGAAAGGGCTTGCATTTTTTTTTTTTCCATAAGCAGCTGCTTGAAAATGGTTTTCACCGTGTTTGGTCAGTAGATGTCAGTGAACACCCATAAGAGCGAAATTAACCTCTGAAAAGATAGATTAAAAGGGAAAGTTATCAGCCAAGTAGAAACAAAAGGTGTTTGGTTTCAGGTAATTAAGGCGATCGCTGCAGCAATACCTCAAGGTTAAGATAAATACATTGTGTATAAAGAGGATGCTTGGTCAAAGGTGACTATTCAAATGCAAATGTAGTTAATGACCCGCCGCAATAAACCACCTTTTCAGTCTCTTGTTGGGTAGTTTTGCATTTTAATAGGACAAATCACCTGTAAGTCGGTCTGCAACACTGCTGGGCCTTAACCGTTTGCAAATAGGAAAACAATACTTTATGTGCCCGCAGTCATGCCCTTTTCTTTATTTTTCATTCTTGTTTACGCTATTACACGTATCCTCTTCCCGCCTCCACCCTCATGTCCTTAGGCAGAACTTAACACAGGCTTCAGCGTTACTTTAAAAAGGCGTAGTAACCTTTGCAACATTCAAAAACTTGAGTATTTTCTAAACATTTTACACAGGCCTCAGGTGAAAGTGTCAAACGTAGTGGCATGCTTTCTGTGAGGATGCTGATTAATAGGGAATACATATATTAATGTAGTTACAACAGAAAATAAAGTCACTTCAATTAATGGTCTTGTTGCATTTAGGGAAAGTATATGAAAACAGAACATTTAAAAATCTCCAAGTTGGGGGTGGGGAGAGGGAAAGTGTAAGGTCATATGGGGAAATGAAGAAATTTATGTTGAAATCCGTCTTCCTAAACTTGAATGAGGCAAAAACATGTCACTTAGCCAATCACATTTTGCGCTCGCCTTTTCAAAAGGAACACAGGAAAAGCAGTTTAAGCGCCAAAATTTACAATTCTTATCAAGCGAACAACATATGTCTGTGATAATTTGTGCGCGGATAAAGCCACAATATTGTGAAAGATACGGTATAAAGACGATAGAGGAGAAAAACGGTAGATAGAAAACCCTTTCTGAAAGGGTGGTTGGGAGGAAAAAGTTAATTTTCGGTCTTAACCCACCGGAAGTCCCACCTATCCGGAAGTGATCGCCGCTAGCAGTAACTACTCTGAGGCTTGATGGACAGATAACTCTTCCAATCAGAGCGGGACTCGTCTTATATATACTGGTTGAGATCCCACTCTCCCGTTCAGTGGTTCCCGGCTCCTGGCTGTTAGGAATGGCTCGCACCAAGCAGACGGCGCGCAAGTCCACGGGCGGCAAGGCGCCCCGCAAGCAGCTGGCCACCAAGGCCGCCCGCAAGAGCGCGCCGGCCACGGGCGGCGTGAAGAAGCCGCACCGCTACCGGCCCGGCACCGTGGCCCTGCGCGAGATCCGCCGCTACCAGAAGTCCACGGAGCTGCTGATCCGCAAGCTGCCCTTCCAGCGCCTGGTGCGCGAGATCGCGCAGGACTTCAAGACCGACCTGCGCTTCCAGAGCTCGGCCGTCATGGCGCTGCAGGAGGCGTGCGAGGCCTACCTGGTGGGGCTGTTCGAGGACACCAACCTGTGCGCCATCCACGCCAAGCGCGTCACCATCATGCCCAAGGACATCCAGCTGGCGCGCCGCATCCGCGGGGAGCGGGCGTGAGCTGTTACCCTAAGTTCAACGAAAACCCAAAGGCTCTTTTCAGAGCCACCCACAACTTCAATGAGAAGTGCTGTAGGCAAAAAGGTGGGACTTGGTCACCTTCTGGGACTGGGTTTAATCAGCTAGTTATTTCTAGGTAACCTGTGCAGCTGCCCTGCACCAAGTTTGAGAAAGGTTCTATCCTATTTATCTAATGTAGCCAAAATCCTGTAAGTGCTGTGTAAATCCTCACTCCTTGGGACAACCCTCCGGGCGATGCGGGAGTTTAATTTTGAATAATTAGCAATGGGAGAGCTCCTAGCCTCGGGCAATTGGTAAACACTGGGTAGGAAGTCGCTCTGGGCATAGAGTCAAAGTAGCTTAGCGCACCGTTTTCACCCCGAAGCAAGACTGGTGAAATGTGACTTCAACGTGTATGAAAAGGGTTATGAGGTTTCAGTTTAAGGCTCAACGCAGGAAATACAAGTCGGAAAAACACACACACTGAAAGCTGTAGTGGGAAATGAGGTTTAATTTTCACAATAATTTAACAGCTCCTTTTTCTTTAAGTGCATGCTAGTTCGTGTACTTTTGATTCACAAGTTCTCACATGGTATCACAACTATTCAGCAGTAAAGGCCTCTCTGGATACCTGGCTGGGTCTCGAGGGCAAAACAGTGGAGCCCTGGAAAAGCGAGCGCCACTCAACCTTAAGCCCCAAAAGCACTTTAGCGCCCCCTTCACTGGGAAAGTCAACGTGTACTTACTCTTAACACACAGACCACCAAGCAACAGGCGGAACGTGTAAGAACAGGCTCAGGTCCGCCGCCTCCCACCCCATCCAGGGAATGTGGTGTCACCAGCTCTTTGTCGGATGACGTGGGTGGCTCTGAAAAGAGCCTTTGTATTCACGGAGTCAATCGGGTCCTCACTTCTTGGGGGCAGCCTTCTTGGTCTTGGCAGCTTTCGGCTTGGGCGCCTTGGCCTTAGCGGCTTTGGCCTTGGCCGGACTCTTAGCCGGCTTCTTGGGCTTGGCGGCCTTCACCTTCTTGGGGCTCTTGGCGGCTTTCTTGGCTCCCGCCGCCGCCGCCGGCTTCTTGGGCTTCTTAGGGGTCTTCTTGGCGCTCTTCTTGGGGGTGGCGGACCCCGCGGGCTTCTTGGGCTTCTTGGCCGCGCCCGCGGGCTTCCTGGGCTTGGCCGCGCCCGCCTTCTTGGCCTTGGGCTTGGCGTCCCCGGAGGCCGCCTTCTTGTTGAGCTTGAAGGAGCCCGAGGCGCCGGTGCCCTTGGTCTGCACCAGGGTGCCCTTGCTCACCAGGCTCCTGAGGCCCAGCTTGATGCGGCTGTTGTTCTTGTCCACGTCGTAGCCCGCGGCCGCCAGCGCCTTCTTGAGCGCGGCCAGCGACACGCCGCTGCGCTCCTTGGAGGCGGCGACCGCCTTGGTGATGAGCTCGGACACGGGCGGCCCGGACGCCTTGCGCTTGGCGGCACCGGCGGGCTTGCGCGCCTTCTTCTTCGCGGGCGTCTTCTCCGCAGAAGGAGCGGGAGGCGCGGTCGGTGCGGTCTCGGACATGGTCGTCGGCGAGGGTACCTGGCAGATTAAAAAAAATTAGTCTGCGAGTGGTGCTGCCGGTGCGGAGAGTGTCTATATAAACACACAGCCACGCCGCGCGCTGATTGGCTCCCAGCTCCCTCTTCCGCCCCAGAGCAACTGGGTCTCAGCTCCGTCTCGGAATTGTGTTTGTTCCATTCCAGGAAAGCCCCAAAATTAAAATTTCCTGTGGAAGAACCACAGAAATTTTACTCTCCAGTCCACCGGGACAGCTCAAGCTTTGAGGCCGTCATACTGTCGCCTTTCGATTAGCATCACGTCGGTCTCAGCCTTTGTCAAAAGCCCCCGACACTCTGAGAGATTCACAGGTCGGACAGTCCACTTGTTGATTTTCGTTTAAAATACAAAATTTCCCCTGTGTGTCTCCAATATCTTGCCCCCCAGTAATGTTCTATACCTTCTTGGCTTGCCATACATGTCAGCATCTGCTGCATTCTCCTGGAGATTTACCCAGAAAAGCGCCTTCCTGGGAGAAGAAATAGCACAGGCTCTCTCAGGATTTCTCTACAAGAGCAGTCCTAAACGGTGCTTGGAATACCAGTGATTTTTCATCAGAAAAGCCTTTGATTTGTCTGAAAAAGCTTTAACACAGCTTTTTGGTGACTATTTTTGACTGTAAGGAGTCAATATTTATTGAAGAAAATGGGGGGTGTAATATTCAATGCTTGTTCTGTCAGGGCAGTTGGGCCTGTTACGGTAGCTGATGGCAGAGCAGCTTCAGGTAAAGACATAAAGAGGGTTGGTTCCTTTTCCAGGTTAAAAAAAATGCTTGTGGGTTTTTTTTGTTTGTTTTTAAGTGTGGGATGTTAATCAAATGTTTGAGCTTTTGGGCACAGAAGTCTGTCAAGCTTGGGGAAGATACATTTGGCAAGAATTCAAGTAACAGCAGCATTAAGGAATATACACAGCACACACACTCACTTATGTAGGATTCCTTTAGGACAGGGACATGTAAAAGCAAGAATGTTCTATAGTTACTACTAAAATTCTTATTTAAGAAAGGCTATAGGGCCGGAACCGGTTTGGCTCAGTGGATAGAGCGTCGGCCTGCGGACTGAAAGGTCCCAGGTTAAGCTTGAGAAAGATACATTTGGCAAGAATTCAAGTAACAGCAGCATTAAAGAATATACACAGCACACACACTCACTTATGTAGGATTCCTTTAGGACAGGGACATTTAAAAGCAAGAATGTTCTATAGCTTCTACTAAAATTATTATTTAGGAAAGGATATAGGTTTATAGGCAACACATTACAGCTTATGCTTTCTGTTCAGTAAGATATAGGTTGATGGTAGAGTTGTTAGGACAAGAGTCTCACTGAATGCTATTTTTGCTAAATGCTGAAATACAGCACAGTGTTCTGTAGACACAGAAACAGCCAAGGAGCTTGACAGGAATCAAATCTGGTACATGAACAGCAAAGGAGAAATCAACATGTAATTAACCAAATGGTCTATGAGCACTGACTAAGCCTCCTTCAGGGGACAGGGCTTTGGCTATGAATCCCTGTTTCCTCCACCTGCTGCAAATAAATAAAAGGACAGGCCCACAGCTGTCTTTCTTGAATCGAACAGCCCAAGCAAACGGCGAACTCCTTGAGTTTGGTAACAGCGATTTGATTTTCTTTTTCGCTCCTCATGCTCTTTGCTTGTCTTCAACAGCTCAAGGCTGTGTTCCACCCGGACTATGAAAGGGAAGCGCTGGGATACAACACAGCAAAGCACAGGAAGTTATGCTTTCTCCTTGACCCATGGATGTGTCTCTGTTACATCAATGTTTTCTCTCTCTCTCTCAGCAATAAAAAACATATCCTCAGGTAGGATTAAAAAATGTTTGTAAATCAATAAATAAAATTAAAAAAATACTAAAATATACATAGGATTACAAAAACGCCATATTAAACTACTGTTATTAAATTTATCAAAAGTACAAATCAGTCAAGTATTAACATGTATTAACGTATGTGCTTCTTTATCAATACATTAAACAAGATTGCCCATATGACCAAGAATTAGAGTTTGATGGAGTGATAAATTTAAATGTTTTGAGATATCAACTGCTGTAGATGCATTGTGATATGACTGTAGCACAGGGCCAGCCAATTATACTGTTAACTGTTTTCATAAACAGAGGAAATGCTACCATTCTGTTGGGGGATACTAAGCATAATGATCAAGGTGTGTTTTTTTATAGACAAGTTCCCAGATCCTCTGAATCCTGTCTGAATTCCCAGGTTAAGAACTCCACTCTGGAATTTGTTTCCATACAGTGTGTTTTTTGTTGTTGCTTTCTTTAAAAAAATATTTTTAAAACTTAAAAATATTTTTTATCAAATTTTTAGAGAGAGGGAAAGACAGAGAAATATCGCCCAGACCATGCAGGAGGGCGCAACCAAGACATGTACCCTTGACTAGAATCGAACCCAGGACCCAGGATGTATTACATTTTGGCTTTCTCCCGTTAACCTGTCGCTGTTAATTGGATTATTAGCCCACCTTGAAATTTGAAGATGGGAGAAATTTTTTTCATGGCCCCACAGAAAGTTTTAGCAAATTAGGATGCTGTCTTAGTACTCATCATTTTAGAGGAGTGCATTTTGAGGAGAGGCATAATGAATGATGTGGCTGTTTTATTTGTGTGTGTTTTTTGTTTCTTTGTTTTGTTTTTGGAGATGTTAAACAATTTGCATAGATAGCTCTATAAGTATCTTTATGAGGAACAACATGCACGAGCTCGTGACTTCATATTTTGGGAGCCCTGAGGACAAGTGTCAGGCTTCCTTGTGGAAAGTGTAGGAAACGGCCCACTTAAAGGCTTCAAGTATTGTATGCAAACTACACATATCCACCTACGGTAGCCTTTATTAGGTTCCCCCTCCCGGACTCAGCGTGGCTTCCGGCGCAACACCGGGTTTCCACAGCTCGGAGCGGGACAATGTGCAAAGGGCGGGAAGTGGGTGGGTCGCCACGCCTGCTATTCAGGTTTCAATCAGGTCCGTCCCTCGACTATAAATTCCCTGAGCGGCGCTCGTTAGGCCATTTCGCTACCAGCTCAGCAGTTGTGAGGGCACGATGTCTGGACGCGGCAAAGGCGGGAAGGGCCTGGGCAAGGGCGGCGCCAAGCGCCACCGCAAGGTGCTGCGCGACAACATCCAGGGCATCACCAAGCCCGCCATCCGGCGCCTGGCGCGGCGCGGCGGCGTCAAGCGCATCTCCGGGCTCATCTACGAGGAGACGCGCGGGGTGCTCAAGGTCTTCCTGGAGAACGTGATCCGCGACGCCGTCACCTACACGGAGCACGCCAAGCGCAAGACGGTCACGGCCATGGACGTGGTCTACGCGCTCAAGCGCCAGGGCCGCACCCTCTACGGCTTCGGCGGCTGAGCTCCCACCAACTGGCTTCCTCAGCAAAACCAAAGGCCCTTTTCAGGGCCACCCATCCGTTCCTTTAAAAGAGCTGTTGCTTTACTTTCCATTGCAGTGTCTTGTCTTCGCGGCGGTTCAGGTAGTCACAGGCTTGTAACTTGTTTCACCTGCGAATGTTTCCCCTCTGAGTTCCTTGGGGGGAGTTAGGAACAGTTATGTGGGGAACCCTGCACCCCGGGCGCCAAACCCGTTCCCTTCAGTCTGATGGCTGAAGCCCTTCCCACCGAGCCAATGGCAATGCTAGTTCGCCATTTTGTTAGTAAGTGGTGGCGGGGAAGCGAGTATAGGAAGGAGTGTTTCTCAAATGACAGCGATGCCACTTCTTACTGCATTAACCTGGGGTGTCGCCCCCCTTTGTCACTCCCAGAAGTAACCCTCTGCCGGTTTCCAGGTAAATGAGGGAAGGAAGTCGCGGTGTTTTCTGTGGGGTGCAGTCTGCTCAGCATCACTGGTCCACAGACCATAGGCTTCCAGACCCGAGTGCCCAGCGCATGGACGTTGAACCCGGCATATCTGCTCGGCTTGGCTCAAGTAATGTGTCTGTATATATTTTAAAGAAAAGCATAGAAAAGCATTTTCTACTCCCACATTACTACTTCCCCTCCACGCCCAGACTGGCCCGGGCCCCTCCCCTGACCAGGCGGGTGCGCTGGAAGTTGCAGACGGAACCTGGTGAGGAGACCGCGTCCTGGGAACTGGTGCAGGTCTGGTTTGTGGGACGAGTCGGAAGTGCGGAAGGGATTGTGTGCTTTGCCATTAAATAAACAAAAAGACAAACCTAACTCTAAGCGCCATAACCACTGCTCTCCCCGGAGCGCTGCAGGCGCCCAACGTGTCTCTAAAGACCCGGAGAGAGAGCGCCGGGCGAGGTCCCTGACGCCCAGGCCCAGGGCGGGGTCCCTGACGCCCAGGCCCAGGGCGGGGGCGGGAGGCGGGAGGAATTAGCGCCGCAGCGACACCTAGAGGCGGCCCGGGTGTAGCGCGGGCTTTTCAAACTGGTGAGGCCCTTCGGCGCCCAGTGATGACGTGTCACCCGAGACCCGAGGCGCCGCGGCCCAGATGGAAGCCGCTCGGAGAGCTGCGCCTCCAGCCGACGGGGAAATTGTGAAAGGTGAGCGCGCGGGGCGTCTGAGCCCCACTGGGGTGCACTCCCGGGTCCGAGCGCGGGGCAGGGCAGCCAAGGGCGGGGGCACACACGAGGGGCGGGGACGCCCTCCGGAACGTTGGCCCCCAGGCTCAGCCCCAGGACTGGCCGGTGCACAGCTCTTTACGGGAAAACGTGGGTGGCTCTGAAAAGAGCCTTTGGGTCAGGAGTCAGGCCGCTCGCCCGCGCCTCACTTGGAGCTGGTGTACTTGGTGACGGCCTTGGTGCCCTCGGACACGGCGTGCTTGGCCAGCTCGCCGGGCAGCAGCAGGCGCACGGCCGTCTGGATCTCGCGGGACGTGATGGTCGAGCGCTTGTTGTAATGCGCCAGGCGCGACGCCTCGCCCGCGATGCGCTCGAAGATGTCGTTGACGAACGAGTTCATGATGCCCATGGCCTTGGACGAGATGCCGGTGTCGGGGTGCACCTGCTTGAGCACCTTGTACACGTACACCGAGTAGCTCTCCTTGCGGCTGCGCTTGCGCTTCTTGCCGTCCTTCTTCTGCGCCTTGGTCACCGCCTTCTTGGAGCCCTTCTTCGGGGCGGGCGCCGACTTCGCGGGCTCGGGCATGGTCGGGAGCTCAGCGGATGCCTCTGGCGAGAGGATAGAGTGGAGAAGGACGGATGTATCCCTTTTATATAGATCTTGGTCTGCAGATACAAAGCAAAGTCTTGTGTTTGATTGGTGGATATTCAAAGTGACGTCAAAAATGATCTCTGTCCAATCCGAACGCGAGTCCCAAATTTGAATTTTCAGTGATTTAAGATGAAGCTGCAATCTTTTCCCCACTGATAAAATCAAGGTATTTAGATGAACCATCACGATTTCTCGTGTTTAATTTTTAAAGAATGTTCGACTACCCTATCTTTTTTTCCATTTTACATATTTTTTTTATCTTGGACAGTGTTACAGATATCTCCCATTTCCCCCTCTCCTCTATCTCCCCCCTCTTCCCAGGGCCTACCCACTCCCAGGTCTTCACCACCCTATTGCCCATGGGTTACGCATGTAATTGTATAAGTTCTTTGGTTTATCTCTTCTCTGGTTTCCCCCACCCTACATGTTGTTATGTCCATCTCCTCCATCCCTCCCTGCTTCAGGGCTTATTTTGTTGTTCAATTCATTTGTTCATTAGATTCCACAAATAAGTGGTATCATGTGATATTTGTCTGGCAGTTTGGCTGCAATCTTAAGCAATGACACAATTCTTTTTCACGCCCAAATAGGTTTATAAAATGTGCTGCCCAAATAGGTTTATAAAAATACCGCCCCTGCCTTTTCCTCTGTTTCCGTGTTGGGGGCGGGAGTCAGCACTGCAAGGCGCCAAAGGTCCTGTTCGTTTGAATCTCTAAGCTACAGGGGCGAGCGGAGGAAGGACAGGGGAAAAAAAGGGTGGCTCGCCATCATCCAGACTCGCCCGAGGGCAGTGTTGTTTCAGGAAGCAGAAACATAAGGTGAAATTAAAGGGCAGGGAATAGACCCGGGAGAAAGCACAATAACATTACTTGAAGGGAGATAAGGGAGGAGTTTGTTGGCCAATATGGTTACAGTGCTTCATACTGACAAGTGTCAAATCATTCCCAGTCTAGCCACAGAGGAGGATCACATAGTTCCTCAGTCTAACTTGTGAAGGAAGCCGGTGTTTAACAGCTAAAAGAAGTTATCCTCCTTTATCGGAATCGGTTTCTCTGCCAGTCCTTCACTTCCCATCTTGTCCCACGGAGATGTATCCTCTCAGATTTTGGCTCCCCCGCCCCCCTCCCTCCCCAACAGCAAAGCCGGGCAGCAACAGCCTGTGGCCGCCTGGCCCCCAACAAGCCACACTCCTGAACTTAACACGTCTTATCTTTGTTTGCTAAAACACTTTACTTGCCTCCTCACCTCCGTGTGGAGGAAACCTCCCCAAGGCCCTTTCAGCTTCATTGTGTCTCCCTCATTGTCCAGAACAACAGCAAACGGCTTTACTTGTGTTTGTTTAATCATAAGCCCCTCCCTGATTGAATTTTACTTTTTCGGAAAAGGAAACGAGCCAAATACGTAAAGTAGCAGAAACCGAGTTTTTGTGTGATTAGAAAAGCGTTCACCTCACCTCTCTAACTGCTAGGTAGCTACTGCTGTTTTATTCAGCCCCCGGAGCTGGTTCATAAGCGCTTGTCTGTAGAGCCACAAATCCGTGACCTGCTGTCCCTGCCACGGCCCAGCTGCCTCCAACCCGACTTCTCTGCCTCAACTCCTCCCGGGAGCCTCCTGCAGCCCGTTTCCTGTACAGCCTGGGTCCCGGAGGAGTGGGCCTGTTTCCCACTGGCCCTGGCTTCCCAGTGATTTAGTAGCTTCCTTTCTGTTAGTGTCGCCGAAGGAGGAACAGGAGGCCCAAAGGGGTACGAATTATGAAGTTATTAGGTCACCTGGGAAACCAGATGGGCTGAGCCCCACATGGCGGCAGCGCCCAGGGACCGGGAGTCAGGGGATTATAAAGGGCTCCAGGCGGCTTTTCTGGGTGAACTCTCCGGGCGGGTCCGAGGGGGAAGATACTGGTCTCAGCAAGTGGAATGCGCTCTAAGCAAAAGGGAATGCCGGTTGTGAATTGGTCTCAAGGTCAGTGCCAATGGGAGGAGGTATCGAGTTGAAGATTTGGTTGCGATTTTTTGATCTGACATTTTCTTCTAGGGCCTGGCTACTCAAATTGGGGTCCCTGAACGACCAGCAGCAAGTCACCCAGGAACTGGTTGGAAATGCAGAGCCTCCAGCTCCACCCTTGACCTACAAGCCAGACTCAGCACCTTAAGGAGACCCCCGCTCGCCTGGCTGCAGGGGAAGCAGGTGCTGAGGGTTTTTGCTCTTCAGGGCAGGGAAGGGGGGGCTGGGGATAAACAAAGGACAGGAAGGAGCACGTTCCCCCAGAATCCCTTCTGTTTTCCACACATGGTTTTAAACACCCCCCTTTTTACTTTTCCTCAAGGAAATATTTATTGCCTATTATCAGTGATCATATTTTACAGAAAAATTAAGTGTATGCACTTGTGAAAAACATAACATTGAAATCAAGGCCTCTATCACATTTACATGCAAACTCGCCCTGGTTTTCAGAATTCAGCCGTCCCTGGTGATTCCGGTCCAGGGCCACGCGTCCATGGTTCCCGATAGCTGAGGGTCTCCAGTCATTGGAACAAAATCTTCTTTGTATGTGACAGTCGTTTCCACAGGAAACCCTTTCAGGGCTCAGGTATTTCACTGCTTAGCTCCAATTCATCACTTGGCCCTGGGCTTTCATATGTTGAGACATCTTTTTGTTCTACGTCATCACCTAATTGTGCTTCTCCCCTCCCCGCACCCCGACCGGAGAGAAAGTCAAGGAGCCCAGCAGGGTCCAGGTGCCCACTGCCTCCGCGGCCTGGCCAGGACGCTTGGCGCTGCAGGGGAAGGACCTAAACACTCTTCCTTTTCGGTTCTTTGTCTAGGGTTTTGTTGTCAGTTATTATTAGCATTGCCATTAGCTTTTCTTTTTTTAAAATTTAGCTGAGAATGTTAGTGTGTTTCCATTTGGGGTAAAATTGAAAGCCACCAATTGTGAGACAAAGCTCTGAAGTGAAATCAACACGGATCCCTTCAGCTGTGGAAACTTCCCTTCCTGATTTCATCCTCCCCATGAGATTTCACCAGGAGAAGGGCACGTCTCTGTGCAAATGAATGTGACTATTCGGTGACTAATGCATGTTGCCTGGAAACACAAGGCGTTTGTGGTCCGATTCATGTCCAATTGAGGAAAAAGATGAGTCCTAAAGTAAGAGCATCAAGTCAATGACCCTTGACCATTTGCCCAAGTGTAACCACTGGGTTTATAGGATTTAAATAAGGGTATGAGGACCAAGCAACCAATTTTAAGTGTGTGGATCATAAATAAAGAAAAGCCACAGGCCCAAAATGACACAACTCATGGTAAAAGCTCAAGATAACAAACTTAGATTTAATAATTGACATAATTACAGTTTCAATCTCTCCTAGACAGGTAATCTCCCGTCCCTGCCCCCCCCTTTTTTAACGTGAAAGGAGAAACGGAACCTTAATCAACTGGTCTGGAATTTTCCAGTCAAGTACCAGTAGGGTAATCAGTCTAAAGAGGCTTCTCCTTAGAAAGAAGAGGCATCTGCATGATAAACACCCTCTCATCCTCTTCCCCCAAAGAAAAGATGCCTTGGCCCCAGAACACGCCTTTCTTTTCTTTTGTAAATCGCCTCCTTGCCCCACCTTCTTCCTATGAAAACTTTGCAGGTTGTGCAACCCCTGAGAGCCCCTTGCAGTAGCTAAAAGCCTTGCTGTCTGCGGCCTGACTCATGAAACGCTAGAAGATAATCAGACGTAATGTATTCGGCTGAATTTTGTGTTGCCGCACGATGAACCTGGCCTCCATATAATAACATTGAAGAGGTGAGGACCGACCGGAACTGGAGTGGTCATTCCATGTGCACATGAGTATAGTGAGTTACACAGGATACGGGCCGACAAAATAGTCCAAGAATTGTGTTAAATGAAAAAGAGGTTCAGACTTGGTAAGAAGATACTTTTTTGGAAAGGATTATGGGCAGGATGAAAGGGATTATTGCAATAGGCCTGGGGGACTTGTTTAAGGTCTGGACACATCCCAAGGTTAGGCAGAAGGGATTTTCTTCAGAGGGAAGAGTTAGCAAGATTAGGAACCAGCTAGTATAGGAAGGTGAGGCGAGAATGTGATTTGATTGGATAGCAGATCAGAAAATATTTTAGCCTGAGGTCTTCCAGTTCTCTGGAGGGACCCTCAGGAAGGCTGAGGGTGGGTCAAGGTTCCGGAACCTGGGGGCACGGAGAAAATGCAACCTTTGGCTGACAAGCCTATTATTCTGATTGATTAGTGGGGACTAGCAGTTCAACTAATCATCTGTGAATTAAAGAGTGGGAATTGGGAGGACCTGTGTCATAGGTCAGCAGTTCACCCTTGAGGCCTAAGGCTCTGGGGGAGAGGTGGCTCCCTGCTGTGAGCCGCTTCTGGAATACAGAGGAGGGTGGGGATTTCTCTAACCTTGCCAGTGTTCTAGGATCTCAAGTCTCAGATAAAAGTGAAATCATTTACATCTTGCTGAACCTGAGCAAGATTAACTGTAAAGAGTTGAACACACTTGGTTTTACTTTAATCTGAAATGAAATTTAACTGAACAATTATCAATAAAAAGGCAAGTTGGATGCCGTGGGAATGGCCTCTCCAGGTAGTTTCTGGGTCCAGTTATGACTGATCCTTTGATGAGCTGAAGAGAGTTACTTGGGCCACAGGATTGTTAATTGAAAAACAAAATCGAGTCATTTGCTTTAAATAAGTGGATTTCTGTGATGGACTTTTCCCCATAAACCTTCTCTCCAGATCCAAGTGATTGATATTTTAAATTCTACATAAAATATAACTCTACACAATGGTAGATATTAACTTAAATGTAATATGTAATTATTTTGTTATATGATTGTGGTCTCATGGTCGTTTTATGTTTTCATTTGCCTTTCTCAGAAAAGTATTGTTAGAGTTTTGGAATAAGTACAATATTTTATCTTTTTATGATGTTTACTTTTTAAAAAAAATATTTTATTGATTTTTTTACAGAGAAGAAGGGAGAGGGACAGAGAGTTAGAAACATCGATGAGAGAGATGGATCAGCTGCCTCCTGCACGCCCCCCACTGGGGACGTGCCCTCAACCCAGGTACATGCCCTTGACCGGAATTGAACCCGGGACCCTTCAGTCCGCAGGCCGACGCTCTATCCACTGAGCCAAACCGGTTCGGCTGATGTTTACTTTTAAAGCAAAAGAACGTGTGTAATAAAAAATGTGTATTAGAAAGTCCTACGTTTATTTGAGTCTGAAAATAACATGCATGGATTTAAAAAATAATAAAGAAAATAAGAATGAGGGGGAAATATGGCTCGGACACGTTCACCAAGGGACAGCAAGTATAGTCATGCTGACAGCAGACATATTTCAAAGCTGAAAGTACCAGTAGGGCTGGAGAGGGACACTGCAGGGAGCTTTATTTCCAACGTGGAAAACAAGGTACTATTCTGGAAAGCAAAATAGCTAAGGACTAGATAGACTGCAAAGCCAGAGAACAAGAAACCAGGGAAAACGCTGGAAATGTCCTGGAATAGAAACCGAGGAGCTGAAACCATAGTGCTGAGCACAACAAACTGGTTCCCTGGGCCGAATTCCATGATCAGGATTCCGAGCTTTGTTACCTAAAGTCTGCCCCCCGGGGAGCGGGCCCTTGGACCGACCTGGAGACACGGAGCATAAAGCCAAGGTCCGTTGAGAAAGCCTAGGGTAGAGGAAAAAAAATTATATATTGAAAGATTCCTAAGAAGGAAATCTGTCTGGGCGGGGCTCTGTGGTGGAGGCTATAGGACATCTGCCGCAAGGATTTAATCACAGACCTTAAGATTCAGTGAAAACTTCTTGAAATGAAAAATTGCCGCGGGCTCGTAGCGCCACCTAGTGTCCAATGAAAGCAAAGATAAACCCGTTTTGAGGACCTTGAGAATGTGATGGACAACTTTTACAAAAATTAAACTCAACATTAAAGGATAATTTCCAAGAAAAAAAGATAAACAAGTTGTGATGACAAGGAAATCTCTCCTACACCCTTCAATCCAAATGATACCAAGCACAGTTGGCTTTACAGGTTTTAGTGAAATGTGAGGAACTGATAATCCCTATTTAACAAGGCGTTTCCATTGAAAAATGTCTTCCCTCTTTTCCCCTTTGAAAATGCATAACCTCATTATCTACCCTAGATAGAAACAAAGGAAGAGACAAAAGAATAAACTATAGTCTTGTCTTAGGAACATTCATTTAAAAAGTGCTATTTAAAGCACAAATGAAAAGTAAGAGGATATGTTATTTCAAAAATAACAGTATACATGTAGGGCTTATTCCAAGAATGTGAGAAAAGTTTGACATCATAAATCTTCCAGTGAGAGATATTAGAGAAAAAATATGTGGTCATTATTGATACAATGGAAGTATCTGCTAGCAGATAACACTCATACTTTAAAAAAAATTTTTTATCAGACATTTTCAATATACTGAGAATGAAAAGGAGTAGCTACTTCATAAGGAGGGGCTACAGTGAGCATAATATTTAATGATCAATTTTGGAAGGATTCCCCAAAAGCCAAAGAGGAAGACAAAAGTTCTACTTTTGTGGTACTGCTCCTATTCAACATGGCACCAAGGGCCCTGCCAATCTTTTTAGACCAAGACAGGAAGTACTTATGACAGGGATTCAATAAGAAAAGATGTTATCTTTCTTGTTTGAAAATAACATGTCATTGCAAAAGTTCACGGGTTTGTATAAATGATTCGATCTCACCGAGCCCTACAGGGGTGGTGGACATAGGAAGTCAGGCCTTCCTGCGACAGCAGTGACCCATCCGGAATGGAAATGGAAAACCCTCTCACCATTTACAGCACAACAGGCGAAGGATTCTAAGACCAGGAAAAACCCTCCAGATCTATATAAATAAAACTATGACATGTCACTGAGGGATACACACCAAGATCCACTCGAATTGATAGCTACGCAGTGTTTACGTCTTGTGACTTAATGTGCTAACATGCTCCTAAGTTCCAAAATAACCAAATCGGTGATGTTGTGCCACAGCCTGATGGATCTTCGGTGAAGCATTGTACACATCATGTTGATGAGCAAGAATCCCCCCCCCCCCCCCCCCCCCGCCCACAATAACAAAAACCCAGAGGCAGCAATACAGACTGGTAGGTTCTGACTCGGGCTGAGCTTTAGGGGGGGGCTGGGTGATCCCCAGACACAGCCTCAGGAGTCAGAAGTGACGCGTGTTCGCTCAGGTCTTTGTTGGCCAAGCTGACTGGAGGGCGCCGGGCTGGCTGGAGCAGGTCTCAGTGTCTCCCTAGCGATCAGGGTCGATGACTTAGAGCAGTGGTTCTCAACCTTCCTAATGCCGCGACCCTTTAATACAGTTCCTCATGTTGTGGTCACCCCCAATTTCATTGTTACAAATTGAACATAATGAAAGCATAGTGATTAATCACAAAAACAATATGTAATTATATATGTGTTTTCTGATGGTCTTAGGCGACCCCTGTGAAAGGGTCGTTCGACCCCCAAAGGGGTCGAGACCCACAGGTTGAGAACCGCTGGCCTAGCGTTCCCCACAGGCATGTACTTCTGTGTGGTGCTGAGAGCAGGACCCGGGGCTGAGACCGTGGGACGCGGGGCAAGTTGAGCGAAGCTTCGGGTGAATCGGTAAATCCGTGAGTGAGATCGGGATGACAGATGTGGCAGGAGAATGACCAGGGAGCATCTGGAAAGCACTGGGAACGTCTGGGCGTTTGCAAAATAATCAATAAATAAAATGCAGATGAACAGGGGAGGGTTGTGTGCCACCTGCACCCGAGTCTGAACCGTCTTTTGAGGCGGTTTGTGTGGCTGTTGGGTATTAGCATTTCTGCGAAGGGCAGTTCTCGGTATGATCTCGGGCCCAGGCGCTGGGGCATCACCTGGTAACAGAAATGCAGACGATCGGGTTCTGCCATCAGTCTGGGCAGCCGTGGGCCGGATCCAGCCCGTTTGAAATGAATAAAACTAAAAAAAAAAAAGACCGTACCCTTTTATGTAATGACTAGAGGCCCAGTGCACAAAAATTTGTGCACTGGGGGGGGGGGGGGGTGCCCCAGCCCAGCCTGTGCCCTCTCGCAGTCTGGGACCCCTCGGGAGATAACGACCTGCTGGCTTAGGCCTGCTCCCAGGTGGCAGAGGGCAGGTCCAATCCCTAGGTGCAGCCCCTGGTCATGCACAGAGCAGGGCGGATTGGGAGGTTGGGGCGCTGTACCCTGTCACACTCAGGGCAGGGCCAATGGGGAGGTTATGGCTCTCCCCCGTCACACACAGAACAAGGCCCGTGGATGGGGGGTTGGGGCGCCGCCACTATCACACTCAGGTCAGGGCCGATGGAGAGGTTATGGCTCTACCCTGTCACACACAGAGCAGGGCCCGTGGTGGGGGGGGGGGCTTGGGGCGCCACACCCTGTCACACACAGAGCAGGGCCCATCAGGGGGTTGGGGCGCCGCACCCTGTCACACACAGAGCAGGGCCGATCAGGGGGTTGGGGCACTGCACCCTGTCAAACACAGAGCCCCAGGGCAATCAGGGGATTGGGGAGCTCCCCCCTATCAGGCACAGAGCAGGGCTGATCAGGGGGTTGGGGCGCCTTCCCCTGTCACGAACAGAGCAGGGCAGATAGGGAGGTTGTGGCCCCGCCCCCTGTGACACACAGAGCCACAGGGCGATCAGGGGGTTTGGGCGCTGCCCCCTGTCATGCTGATCCCGGTGCTGGGAGGCATATTACCCTTTTACTATATAGGATAGAGGCCTGGTGCACGGGTGGGGGCTGGCTGGTTTGCCCTGAAGGGTGTCCTGGATCAGGGTGGGGGTCCCTTCTGGGGTGCCTGGCCAGGCTGTCTGAGGGGCTGAGGGCCGTTTTCCGGCTGGAGGGTGACTGAAGCTCCCAACCGCTCCTTTTTTTCTTTTTTCTTTTTTAAATTCTGGGCCAGCTTTAGCTCTGAGGCCTCGCTGCTGAAAACATTGATACAATGTTGCGGTCAGGCTGGCTGAAGCCCGGCTGACTGAAAGCCGGTTTCTGGGGTTTTGTTTAGCTTCTATATTTGCAACATAGTTGCTTAGAGTTGCAGTTGAGAGGCCAGCAAGTCAGGCAGGGAACGTTGGAGTCCGCTGTCACTGGAGCAAGCAAGCCTCCCTGTTTGCTTCAGTGCACGGCTGCCGGCCGCCATCTTGGCTGACAGTTAATTTGCATAACGATATGCTGATTAGCCAATGGGAAGGGTAGCGGTCGTACGCTAATTACCATGTTTCTCTTTTATTAGTGTAGATGTTTACTTTGAATTTATATTAGTTCACACAAACACTCCATCCATGCTTTTGTTCCGGCCCTCCGGTCCAGTTTAAGAACCCATTGTGGCCCTCGAGTCAAAAAGTTTGCCCACCCCTGGTGGTGGTTCAGTACGCACTCGGCTTGAGACCCTTGTTTCCCTTCGTTCAGGAGCCGGATGTGAGCTCTGTCAGCTCCACGACTGTTTCCCTTCAAGACCGTTACCAAAGCCACGGCAGGGCTTCAGCCTCACCTACTCAGACCTTCATACCAGAAAGCACGTGGAACATAAATTGTATGTTTGGAAAGGGGATATGTTAGGAGAAAGATTTGAATTAAAAATGAATGCAGAATTCCAGTACTTACTCCACAAATTTTTATTAATCATATCGCAGATGTGTGGCCAATCCTCTCATTCAGACTTCTCTAAGCAAAGGTAGTCCATGGGAAAGAAAGAATTCCCAGTAAGTAGGCTTGTGACAGAAGTAAATTCTACTTTTATGACTGAAACGAGTAATAAAATGAGAAAGCTAAAATAAAACACCGTGTTTGGACTCCTCCACTCAGGTAATGACCTTTTGATGAATCAATGTGCAGGAACCAGGAGGGGTTGGGTGTGTGTGGGATAAACAGTAATTATTCTCAGGCAGATCAGACTTTGCGTATTTCATAACTTCTATGGGTTGATTCACATTTTCAGTTACTGTTTGCATTCATTTCTTCTCCGCATTCATCTCTGCCCTAATTGAAAAAAATAAAAATAAAAGGTGTTTATTTGTTAGGTGCCATTTTGACACCTGCATTAATAATTGCTATACAACGAAGTAGATCCTTGTTACATTTGCTTGTATCACGTGCTATGAAGTATCTCTGCAGTGTCACCTCCACTTTAGTCATTATTAGCATGAACAGACAATGACTCAATTCATACTTAGGAGACGTTCCTGAAAAATATAGGCTCTGTGTTCCAAATCCCACCAGGACCCTCTTGGGGTGGTATTCCAACAGTTCAAAAGCTCATATTCTCTCCCCTTCGTTTTTGAGTTGCAGAGAATTGGCTACTCTGATTTCCATTTTAAATCATTGACTAGGGAAAATATAACTGGTAACAACTGCTAAATCCATAACAGACTGTCAGACAGTTTTTAAGAGTTTTACATGAGCCCGGCTGCGCTGGCTCAGTGGTTGAGCGTTGACCTTTGAACCAGGAGGTCATGGTTCGACTCCATGGTCAGGACACATCCCCAGTGGGGGGTGTGCAGGAGGCAGCTCATCATTTCCATTTGGTTATTTTATATTTTTTATTGTGGTGTTCTGGAACCAAATTTTAAATATCTCTGAGCTCCATTTTCTTCTTTTTCAAATCTGTGTAGGCAAAAGGGTTGTTGTTGTTTGTTGTGTTTTTTTTGTGTGTGTGTTTTTTTTACATCTGTTACAGTTGGTCACTGCAAGTCTTTGCCTTTTTACTCATTTTGTTTCCACTGTCTGTTGCTCTTGTTCTTGCCATGGTTTCCTGTTTCGTGGTGTATTTGGTTTAGTTTGGTTGTGATTTGATATTGTACCACCTGAGATTTCTTAAGGCCTAAAACAAAGCTTTTTCCTTCAGGGCGGATTTGTATTTGCCTTTACCAGGTGGCTCAAGGGCTCAGAACCAGGGTGGGGTACCCCTAAACTAACTTCTCAGCCTGGGTGAATCCCTGTGGTATTAATGCCAGAAACAAGTCAGCTGGGCTTTTAGTCCAAATGCTCAGTGTGAAACCTGCCCAGCTGGGCCCCAGGGTTCAGGGCAGACTCTTCCTTGCAATCATCAGTGTGTTGTGTGTGTGTTTATTTCTAGTTCCTCCTTCCACCTCCAGGATGTAGCTTTTGCTCTGGTGCCCAGCTTCACCAAGAAAGATTTCGTATCAGGCTCCCCATCATGGAGAGGCGTCACAAAACCCCTAAAAGCAAAGCTCAGCTTTGGTTAAAAGCCCGCTGGGGTGTTTAGGGTGCTTGGGGTGTCACAGGGGTCAGGGTGGTGGCTCTCTGTGTTGCTTTTAAAAATAGTAAAAATATTATTCTGGATTTTAATTGCACCCACTTGCCATTGTGTGGAAGGGGGAAATTCTCCTTTCCCTCCTCTGGTTCTTTTGCTTCACAAATAATCTTATCAACAGAAAATAAGTTAACACGAGAAATTCACATTTAATCTTGTGCACACAGGGACCCCACCCACGTAAGTCAGACACCGGCATCTGTGAGAGGTTTGGAGATAGAAAGGGCAGCAGGTATACAACACGTTCTGAGCTAGGGATGGTGTCTTGCACTTTGAGGGCTTCAAAGGGTTGGTTATTGCAACATAAGAGCAGGTAAATAGAAGTTCGTCCTGCCCTTCAGACAGGCCCAACAGGTTCTTCCTGAAACTCTTATGTGCAATGTCCCTAATTCACGTTGCCCATAGTTGAGGGGTAGAACCTTCTCTTGTGCCCAAGGCGAAAACTGCCTTTCGCCCAAAATAACCTGCTAGCCCAGCTTTGAAGACGCCTCGGAGCCTGGTCCCACCTCCTCTCCCTGTGCCCTGGGGATGCAGCACAGGCTACGCCCTCTCCCTCCCCCACTCGCTGCTCAGAGCCTCAAGCAGAAATTGAACTGCACAGCAACCAAACCAGAAAAACCTCTATACTTCGTGAAAACATTGTTTTCAACCTTTTCTCAGCAATAGTTGGCTTTTTTTTTTTTGAGAAAAACTCTAAAGAGAACTTGTCACAAAAAATTGCACTATGCTTTCATGAGGGGTCATCATCAAATCCCTGACCAATTCAGAGATCTGCACAGGGAAATGGGAGCTGTACATTTGCAATCACACTTCCAGGACAAATTAGTGTTCACTTATGAACTGCGCTTGTCTCCCATCTATACAACTGGTGGTAGCTATTACTGCTGGATAACTCCCAAGTATTCCCTACACCTCTCTATAACAAAATGACGATGTAGCTCTCAACTCAGAAACCAGAGAATAGATTCTGAGCGAATGAATGGATTACAACTCATTTGTTGAAAGAATGCGTGGCTCTGAAAAGAGCCTTTGGGGTCAGGAGTCAGGCCGCTTACTTGCGCGTCTACTTGGAGCTGGTGTACTTGGTGACGGCCTTGGTGCCCTCGGACACGGCGTGCTTGGCCAGCTCGCCGGGCAGCAGCAGGCGCACGGCCGTCTGGATCTCGCGGGACGTGATGGTCGAGCGCTTGTTGTAATGCGCCAGGCGCGACGCCTCGCCCGCGATGCGCTCGAAGATGTCGTTGACGAACGAGTTCATGATGCCCATGGCCTTGGACGAGATGCCGGTGTCGGGGTGCACCTGCTTGAGCACCTTGTACACGTACACCGAGTAGCTCTCCTTGCGGCTGCGCTTGCGCTTCTTGCCGTCCTTCTTCTGCGCCTTGGTCACCGCCTTCTTGGAGCCCTTCTTCGGGGCGGGCGCGGACTTCGCGGGCTCGGGCATAACTGCGATGGGTGTCCCACTGTCGCTCACACTGGAGGAAGTAATGACCCCTCAACAGCGGCGCGATTATTTATAGACGATGTATTCAAATGAGGATAGTTAGATTTCGATCCTGATTGGAGGATTCATAGGTTGTCGTCACAAATGAGCATGTAAATAAACTTTTCATTGTACCTTTTCATTGGCTATTTGATTACTTTGCTGGGCCCAATCAGATGGCTTAGACTATGTTACCCAGAGCTACCAGAGTCCTCGGCTAGCACTGTGCTGTGTACTTCAGATCCTGTGAAACTTCCCGACAACGCACCAGCTGCAGGGCTGTGGGCGGAGGCCATCTGCTGGCCGGTGCACCTCCAGACGCCGAGTGTGGGGCCCGCGCCAGTGGACACCTAGCGGCCGAGCTTATGTCCTGGACGCAGGAGCGGGCGCAGACTGTGGCTGACAAACGCAGTAGCGCGCGCCCGCGGCACTTAACCAAACCACCAGGCTCGGCAACGTGCTGTGCGACACTGGAATCTAGCATCCCCAATTCTATCAAAGCTCTAATGTTTGGCCCTAGCCGGCGTCTTCGGTGGATAGCGCGTGGGCCTGTGGACCCAAGGGTCCCGGACTCGATTCCGGTCAAGGGCACATAACCTAGGTTGCAGGTTCCTCCCCAGCACGGGCCCTGGTCGGGACACAAGCTGGAGGCAACCAATCGACGTGTTTCCTCTCACATTGTTTTTTCCTTTCCCACTCCCCGCCCCCCTCCAAGAAAAAAATAAAAATAAAAAACCCTGTAGTATTTACTTAGGTGAATCTCCCCCTTCATAACCGCCAGATACGTCTGTAGAGGTCGCCAAATACCCCTAGTGCTGGAAATGCCACACTTCCGCCAGTGTCTGTGGGCCGATTTAGGAACTAAGTTGCCTGGAAGGACACAGTATAGTTCCGGGGCCCTAAAGACCAAATGGACAAACCAGAACTAGGTCCAAAGCAACTTCCAGTCCTACTAAAAACCCAACCGCTCCTAGACAGTCAAGTACCAGATCCGGACACGCCTCCATCCCCGGAACCTCGCTAACCTGGGCAATTTCCCTTCCCCCCGCCCCAGCCCCGCCAATCTCTGCAGCGCCCGCCCAACAGGCAAGACCCCGAAAAAGTGCAACAGCTCTTTCCTGGAGACCCGTGGGTGGCTCTGAAAAGAGCCTTTGGGGTTGTGTTGTGTGTTAACAGTCGGCCAAAGGGACTTCCTACTTCTTCTTGGCCGCCTTCTTGGTCTTGGCTGCCTTGGGCTTGGGGGCCTTCGGCTTAGGCGGCTTGGATTTCGCCGCTTTGGCCTTGGCCGGGCTCTTGGGCACCTTCTTGGGTTTGGCTGCTTTCGCCTTCTTCGGGCTCTTCACCTTTTTGGCTCCAACAGCCGCCGCCGGCTTCTTGGGCTTCTTCGGGGTCTTCTTGGCGCTCTTCTTGGGGGTGGCGGAGCCCGCGGGCTTCTTGGGCTTCTTGGCCCGCGCCCGCGGCTTTCCTGGGCTTGGCCGCCGCCCGCCTTCTTGGCCTTGGGCTTGGGCCTCCCCGGGAGCCGCCTTTCTTGTTGAGCTTGAAGGAGCCCGAGGCGCCGGTGCCCTTGGTCTGCACCAGGGTGCCCTTGCTCACCAGGCTCTTGAGGCCCAGCTTGATGCGGCTGTTGTTCTTGTCCACGTCGTAGCCCGCGGCCGCCAGCGCCTTCTTGAGCGCGGCCAGCGACACGCCGTTGCGCTCCTTGGAGGCGGCGACCGCCTTGGTGATGAGCTCGGACACCGGCGGCCCGGACGCCTTGCGCTTGGCGGCACCGCCGGACTTGCGCGCCTTCTTCTTCGCGGGCGCCTTCTCGGCGGGGGCCGGAGCGGCGGGGGCGGCGGGCGCGGTCTCGGACATGCTGCGGGCGGGCGTGGGAGCGAACTCGAGCCGGAAGAGCGACACTGGCCGGGACTCGGGCCGCGCCGCCGCGCCCGCGCGCTTATATAGGGCGGAGCTGCGCCGTGATTGGTGCGCTGTCCAGCCCGCCTCGCTGGCAGCTGCAGAGTGTCCTGTCGGATCCCGAGTTGTGTTTGTTACACCTCGAAAAATGCTCAAAATATCAAAATCCCCTGCACCGAATTGCCCGGTTTTGCTCAGAAAGGGATCCCCGAAGTCTCAGGCTTCGCCCAGGGGTCCCGTTACGCGGGAACGACACACCTTTATGCGAAAAACTAGCAATATTTCCCACCGTGCGCGTCAGATTTCAACTCTGAGAAACAAAACTTTCTATTTTCTGCGTAAATTATACACCGATCTTTAACGGTGGAGTTTTCTGACCTCTCACAGAGGATTCTCCAAGTGGTTAGGTTCTCATATATCAAAAAACCATTTCCCTGGAATGAGGATTTTTATTACAAATCTGCCCTTAAGTGAGGGAAGTAACACAGGCTCCTCGGAGAGTCCTGCCTATGGAGCCGAGGGCATTCGAGTTCATCAAGCTGGATTCCTTTAATGCCAAACGAATGACTGCCCACGAGGGGTCCCATTTTGGAGCCCCGAGACACCAGTCTATGCGCCCATGGTTTTCTTTCTGTGGGCAGCACCCGCGATTTTAAACAATTCCCTAGAATAATTCTTTCCCTGTCTGCTCCCAAGGGTTGGGGGCGGGGCTGTTGGTTCCCTTCCCCTGGACAACTGCTCCAGGAGTTCAGATGCCTTCAATTCAGGGCCTTGGGAAGGAAGGGGAGGCAAAACACTGGGTGCACAGAAATGGGAAAAGGTTCATTTTCAAGTAGCCCACGGGTGATGTCCACAAAGTCCCTGGCAGGGGAGGTGCCCTGTGAGGTACTGAGGGACGATGGAAGTGAAGCCACTCTCTCTGATGACGTGTTTGTTTGTTTTTTGCAAGGTCTCTAAAGAGTGGTGTCCTTTAGGTAGTTGTCCAATCAACACAGAAGTCAGCCTGTGGTCTTGCTGAGTTCTTTCAGCCCATACCCTAGGGTCACATTGTAATATACTGGTTAGAATAGAAATTCAAATGTTGGTCTTAAAGGGACATAAATCAGAAGTGGAGCTTATAAGGCATCTACTATTGTTAGAGAAACCCAGGCCCCCTTATTACTGAATAGGGGATCAAGAACTAGTCCACCCACCAGATACGCTGCGGCCATGAGGATTACGGCCCGATGCGTCCCAGAGTTTCATAAAGAGGAAACCAAGTTGCACGGAGGATTGAATGACCAGCTTATTTTCCATCTCGGAAGCAGAGTTCGGAGGGACGATGGAAGTGAAGCCATTCTCTCTGAAGACGTGTTTGTTTGTTTTTTGCAAGGTCTCTAAAGAGTGGTGTCCTTTAGGTAGTTGTCCAATCAACACAGAAGTACAGTTGGCAGTGAACACCCAACTAAAGGACTTTTTCCAGCGAAATGAACGGGGTGGACTTGTCTCTAAAAACTGCAAGCCATGCACTTGAGAGAAAAACACAATTGTGGCCAGTGCCTAAATGGATCTGATACTATTCTGTGGGTGCAGTGGCTGGTTGTAGCATTGGTTTTGGGCAATCACATTGATTTTGAGTTTTATTGCCCCGTATTTTCACACACAACAGATCCTACAGATAATGTCCATAAAGTCACAGGAAGTGGAGGTGCACTTTGAGAAATCTGCCTGCATTCTTGCTGAGTTCTTTTGGCCGATGCCTGTGGATCACACTGTAATACACCAGTCCTACTGAAATAAAAATGAGAATACAAATCTTCATGTTGAAACATTCACGAGATGTTTAAAAATCATCTAATTTAAATTAATCCTGAATGTGCTACAAAAGTGATGTAAAATAGCAAATTTTTAAAGCCTTCATGTCTAAGCAGTTTCAATGGAATTGGCTCATGCTCTTGAACAATAAGTATGCCCTGTGCCACATCTACATATAAAAAAGGCTAATATGCTAAGTGTCCCTCCCTCCGTCCTACCACTCGCTGTGACGCACACTAACCACCAGGGGGCAGTTGCTCAATGCAGGAGCTGCTGGGACTGGCACAGAGAAATGGCACTGTGGACCTGGCGCCCACAAAGCAACACTCAGCCTCCCCCAAGTGGGACACAGGCCCCGCCAACCCCAGAGCCACACCCTACCAAATCGCAACTGATGCTGCCAGGACCTCATGGCAAATTCGTGCACATTGAAAGGAAATTAATTAGAAGAAATATTTTAATATCGCTATTCACCCTTTCTCTATAATAGAGTGTCAACCAAATTCATGATCGACAATGCAGATGGAAACACGTGTGGGATTGGCACCAGCAAGAACTTTATATGTGTCGCACATGCATGAGTCAACTTAGCCTCTTATAGATATAGAATGAACTTGCTTAAGTAGACCTGCTTTCTGGCTTAGCTAAACTTTTTCCAGCCCAGTGAAGCACCCCAACTTCTCTTTCAGGTCATTGTCAGCAACACAGCAGTAAATATCAGCACATTATTATTGTAGATCACGCAGGGAGAACAAAGGGTAAAATATTTAACTGCAGCCGTGTTTGACTATATTCTGCGCAGTGAGAAAACCTGGAGTCATTTTCAAGGTCCACCATTTCTTACTTCTTTTCAGTCGGGTCAAGTTTATAAGCTTTCTAAATCTCTGTTTTCCGGCTAATGAAAAGAAAATGGGATTCCACCGAGTCTCCTATCTACCTACTCCAGGACTTCTGTGAGGATCAAATGAGATGAGGCAGGGAAAACGCTTCACAGACATTTGGTTAAAGTGTAAAATGTTTGCTCCTGGCTATAAAGGAAGTCGTGTTCCTGGGCTGAAGAAACTGCAAGACTAGTCGTCACTAGCAAGAGAAAGCCTGGTGTTGCTACGTGACGTCATTACCTGGACAGTCGGACACATAGAATATTAGGCTTTTATATATATAGATATTTTTATTAATTTCAGAGAGGAAGGGAGAGGGAAAGAGAGATAGAAACATCAATGATGAGAGAACATAGATCAGCTGCTGCCTCCTGCACACCCCACACTGGGGATTGAGCCCGCGACCCAGGCATGTGCTCTGACTGGGAACTGAACAGTGACCTCCTGCTTCATAGGTCGACACAACCTCTGAGGCAAGCCAGCCGGGCCAGGTGGCCTCGTCTCTCTGTAGGGAGGACCCATGTGATAGATGAGCTTCCTGGTGCTTGACCAGGAAACTCCGTCCTGGCTGATTGAGTGCATGTTTCTGGGAGAGGTTTTGCCTGCAGTCACATTAGGTCTGAAATGTAGGTTTTGTATGTTGGGCTTCTAGCACAAGGGCCCCATTGGGCCTGTGTGTTTGTGTGTTTTAACAATTTTATGTATAGATTTCAGTCTTGTTCCAGATGATTCTGAACCAATCACTCCAGTTGGTCTCAGAATCTCCGTATTTATCAAGTTCCTCAGGGCCCACCCACCTCGGGGAATGACTGCCACGCTCACAGGAGGTGGCGACAGGCCGTGGGCTGAGCGTGTGGATTTCTGGACTTGCCTGTGAGACCTGCCAACGACGTTTACACCGGATATGACCACACTGTGGGAGGATGGGGCGGCAGCCATCGAATCCTCACGTCCACAGATTCCTACCTGACCCGGCTCCAGGTGGGCTACGGAGGAATAAGGACCCTAATGGTCACAGGCGGACGACTGGGCCCCGGCTGCCTGCTGACAACTGGAATCCCTAGCACAGCGTCTCCACTTCTGCCCCATGCGATCACCTTCATCATAACCACCCTTTCCCACTGTAGCCGGTGTGGCTCCGTGGACAGAGCTTTGGCTCATGGACCAAATTCAATTCTGGGCGAGGACACATACCTCGGTGGCAGGCTTGATGCCCAGCCCTGGTTGGGCATGTGCAGGGGGCAAACAATGGATGTGTCTCTCCCACATCAATGTCTCTCTCTCTCTCTCTCTCTCTCTCTCTCTCTCTGTGTCCCCTCCACTCTCTCTAAAATAAATAACTAATGGGGAAAACATCCTCCGGTGAGGATTAGCAACAACAAGATGTCACAACTGCCCTGTGTGCTCCCTGCCTCGGGACTGAGTCATCAGGACAGTGTTTCTCGGGTTGGGGGTCCGAACAACCATACAGGTGGGGAGGTCAGTTCAGTGGCATCAGGACGGAATGAGCTAGGACAGGGTCTAACACATGGACCTCAGCCCGGCCGGCGGGGCTCCGGGGTTGAGGGTCGACCTATGAACCAGGAGGACACGGTTGGATCCCCGGTCAGGGCACAGGCCCGGGTTGTGGGCTCCATCCCCCGTGTGGGGCGTGGAGGGGGCAGCCGGTCCATGATGCTCTCTCATCACTGATGTTTCTCTCTCTCTCCCTCTCCCTTCCTCTCTGAAATCAATAAAAATATACTTAAAACATAAACTGAAATACGGTGCTTAAATGTATTTAAAACATAAACTGAAATGTCAGTTACCTGCACCGCTGCTGAGTGTGTGGCGGGTGGAGTGCAGCCGTCACTGCGCGGGCTCAACGCGCGGGGGCGCTGTCGTCCTGAGCTGTTCCGAGCCTGAGCCTCGGTCGCTAAGATCTAAAGGGCTTTTGGGTGGAGACTCCGCCTTAGTCTCCCGGGGCCTGGGTGTGGGCAGCGGGGCGCTGTGCTGAGAGCAGCCACGTGCTTCTTAGAAAAACCGAAAGGGAATAGGCTGGGACTTGGCTGCCTTCACTCCGCATCCTCGTTTCTGGGTTGTGATATGTTGGTGTGTTCTGGCTGCTTCGTGGGAGGCAGAGATTGGGGACCAGGTGTTTTTCCTAAAGAAATGCGCGCCTCCCCGCGCCCTGCTAGGGGCGTGTCTACAAGCCCAGGATGGGGTGGCGAGAGCCTGTGGACAGAGCCTCCCGGGGACTTTTTAAGGAGGCAGGTGCTCTCCTGGCTTTTGGCCTGGACCTGGGACACTATTTTAAAAGGCGGGGATATCTGTGAATGTAAACATTGTCGTTCTTTTTATTTAACGCAACAACCATATCTGTGAGTTGCCACTCATGGATGGAATCTAAGTAACTGATGAACGGGGTGGATCCAGAGACACGGAAGCAAGGGACAGCGTGGGAATCTCAGCGGGGAGGCGGGGGAGGGTGGGTGTGGGGTGGGAGGCGATCAACCAAAGACCTTGTATGCAGAGAGCATCCGCCATGGACACAGACAGTGGGGAGGCGAGGGCCTGGGGCAGGCGGCTGGGTGGACTGGAGGGGCTGGATGGGGAAAAGGGGACAGACGTGACATTTTCAACAACGAAAATTAAAAATATTTACATGAAAACAAAACAACAAACAAGCTGTGAGCTGCATAACCAAGGCTGCCCACGGCACGGTGGTTGGAGCTGTGTCGTGTCAGAGAGAACGTGATCTGCACGTGAGAGTGGCCGGATAAACGGCGCCACGGGGTGATGTAGCTGCAGAAATAAACAAGATCTCTGTGGACCGAGAAGAGGAGCCTCCCCGGACGTAGGATGAAGTGAAAAAGAGCGCAAAACCGCACCCGTGGGTGATGCCCTTGTCAGGGGAAGAGGCTGTAGGAACACACGGGTCCTGCCCATCTGTGCAGAACGGAGAAACCCAAGCAACGGCGGAGACCGGTCCCGTCGGGGTGGGTTGGAAAGGAGCAGGAAGGAGGAGGGAGGCGCCGTTTTGGAGTCTGCCTTCCTGTACGGACACTCTCACTCTCACAGCTACAGCAACGCTTCATGTACCAGCAAAATAAACAAACTATGAACAGCCACGGGGGTGGGGGAACCCAAATGCAATGAAAGCACTAACAGGTGAACCGGACTGTAGTACGTTAACATCATACTGTCGCTGAAGGGATTGAGGAGGATAAAAATGAACTCGAGTAACTGTGGGAAACAGTGTCATGATTGCACACCGCACGGCTACAGGCAAACGCCACTGCACAGAGCCCGTCTGGTGCCGCTCGGGGCTTGAGCATCCACCGGAGAACAAGGAGGTCAGGGTTCGATTCCGGGTCAGGGCACAGGCTGGGTTGTGGGCTGGATCCCCACTGTGGGGCGTGCAGGAGGCAGCCGATCCATGACTCTCTCTCATCATTGATCTTTCTCTCTCTTTCCCTCTTCCTTCCTCTCTGAAATCAATAAAAATGTATTTTTAAAAGAAAGAAAGCAGGGAGCCGACTTGGATGAGGAGAAACATGTCCCGTGTGGGTGTCCGCTCCGAGGCCCGCCCCCAGCACCTGGGAGCCTGGGCTGGTCCTCCCGCGGGGAGAGACGCAGCTTTCTTCCCAGCTCATCACCAGGCAACCCCAGCAAGTCCCTGGTGCCTTAGGGGCAGAGCTGACGGGCGCATGTGACCCAGTGCTAGTGGGGCTTTTGTTTCTAGATGGTAGACACCCTCTCTTCCCAAGCATCTATTTTTTACCCTTTTAATTACCTATTACCTAACACTGCTACCTTGTTGGACAAAAGACCAGGTGTCTATTTTTAAAATATACATTTTTCTTGATTTCAGAGAGAAAGGGAGAGGGAGAGATACTGAGCTATGTCGGCTGGCCGTGTGTCGAATAATAATCTGTAATCAACATTCCCAGAACAATTGCTGCAACGTTTATAGGACAGTGACAGCTCCTCCTCCCCAGCAGTCCGAGTCCTCGTTGGTGTGAGGGTGAGAAACGGTGTCCCTTCTGTGCACAGCCCAACCGCTCGGCAGGTGAGCAGCTGTGTGTTCGGGTTTGTTTTCCCTCTGCCACTGCCCAGTGTCCCTGAGTGAAGAGCACGGTGAGGTGTCAGCTCCAACTGGCAGCAAACGGGTCACAGGATCTACGGCTCACTCAGCACACTTCCTTTTCTCAGAAACAGCCTCACTGCTAAGGAAGGTGCGTCCGTCCTCAGTCCCAGGAAATGTGGATGTTCTCCTTCTGCCCAAACTCCAACCCCAGCAACTGTCAAGTGAGAAGCCCAGTGGAGTCCTGATATGTTGTCAGTACGGTGACATTGATTCCCTGCCTGGAGTCACCTTCTGTTGAAGTCTACATAGTATATTCTAATGTCTTTTGGAGTAACAATGATCATACTGTTCTTCCCCCTCATAGATTTGTCTACTAATGGTGCCGGTTTCTAGGTGTCAATGCAGGCGATGGCTGTCTTTTGGTAGATCTCCTGGTGCTGCTAACCTGTCTGGTACAATATTCAGGTTTTTTAATAAAACAGAGGGGAGAATTCCTGAGCTAAATATGACCCCTTATTGTCAATTTCTGTCTGCATGAGGGATCCTCCATGGAATTCCTAACATCTTCCAGTAATATTCATACATGATACTTGACGGGAATAGTTATTTGCATTTGTAATTCTAAATTAGGATCAACAGATGAAAAACCCTTACACGTTAACCTAATTCTAACCTTAAAATACATGTGATTGTTTGCAACTTATAATAAAACTTACCATACTTGTAAAAACGAGTTCAAATGATACATTAAAAAACAGGGAGTGAGGGGTGGATGAAGGAAAGGATATTGCTGCACAGAGGAGTTGAAAAAATAAGAAGAGGTTTAGCCCGTTGGTGTAGCTCAGCGCTTTAGCATCGACCTATGAACCCGGAGGTCACGGTTCGATGCCCAGGTTTCAGGCTCCATCCCCAGTAGGGAGGTGTGCAGGAGGCAGCCTGATTAGTGATTCTCCGTCATCATTGGTATTTCTTTCTCCCTTCCTCTGAAATCAATAAAAGAAATATATTTTAAAAATAAGAAGAGGTCTAATACACAGTGATGCGGTGTCAAGCAGATGTGCTGTGTCTGGGACACCCCAGAGACCCAACTGATGATTCTGCCTCGGCCTGGCTTATCAGTAAACCCCTTAGGTAGACCAAGCATGTCAAACTCAAAGGCTAACAAGGGCCAAATAAACAAGGCTTAAGTGTATGTGGGACACACACACACACACACAAAAGCTTCCAGTCTCATAGAATTATTTAGGTTTAATTATTTAACCTATTCTCGTAGATTTATTTAGAAAAGTATAGTATAAAAAAAAAGCACAAGAGCAATGATAACACTCATGTTTTCTTCCTGACACTTGGCACCGCTTCTCTCTACTCTCTCCTACTTCGGGGGAAGTCTTGTTCGCAGCGATTACTTTCAAAACTGACCCCAGGTGAGCGTCAGTGATTCCTGATCTGACAGGAGACTTATTTCCTTTCATCATGTGAGTAACTGCGCACACCGTTATACTGGCTGGGCTGCAGAAATATTCCTTGTGGGCCGCATGCAGCCCGTGGGCCGCGAGTTTGACATGCTTGCCTTGGATCAACTTCGTCCCTGGTACCTGGCGGTCTTCAGGGATTGCAGGTCCTGGGTTTTTCACGCTCATCCATTCCCCTGAGGACATGGTAGAGACCTGCTCAAGGGAAGCCAGAATTTATTGCTCACCAGCGGACTTTCTCAAGTGTCGATTTCATGGCAGGGCCTCTATGCTATCAACCAACTTTTTATTATTATTACTATTGATTTCAGAGAGGGAGAGAGAGATAGAAGCATCAATGATGAGAGAGAATCAATGATCGGCTGCCCCCTCCACGCCCCACCCTGGGGATCGAGCCCGCAATCCGGGCTTGTGCCCTGACCAGGGGTTGAACATGATCTACAGGCTGATCTACAGCCAAACCAGTTAGGGTGAGCTATCAACATTTTAACTAGATGAGGTCCTTGACTTGAAGGTCTTGCTACAAACGTAATAAACAAATAAAACGAACAAAGCGTATTATTCCCAACTAAGTAACTAAATAGAAAGTTTGGTTTTGGTGCCTGGAGGAGAGACTTCAAATTCAAGGATCCGCTAACTCCTTTCACTGCTCGTCACAGCAGCTCCTCAAGTCCGTTCCCAAGCCATTTCCCGACCTGTCCCCCTGCTTCCCTTGTCACACACTAAACCAGGCGTGTGGCTTCTTGCTGGGTGTGCACTGCGCGCACAGCCATCTATGGAGATTCCAGGGACATCGTGCCTCCTTCCCTTCTCTTCTTGCCGGAGTTCAGGATGCCATTTGTAACATTATGGTACGTTGGCAAAATTGACCTATTATTTTGTGTAGAGTTTTTACCAGTTTTCTTGTTCTGGCAATAATGTCTTAGGGGCAGGAGTTATAGACTAGCCAGGGGTTAGAAGTACTGGCTTCCTGACCGTGGGACACAGAAGTTGTTCGTGCTCTTTTCCGGTTTCCTCAGCTTTAAAATCAGGACAGGGGCCCAGCTGGTGTGGCTCAGTGGATTGAGCATTGCCCCATGGACCAAGAAGTCCTGCGTTTGATTCCAGGTCAGGGCACCGGCTTGCGTTGTGGGCTTGATCCCTGGTAGAGGGTATGCAAGAGGCAGCCCGTCAATATTTCTCTCTCACCGATATTTTTCCCCCCTCTCTCTCTGAAATCAATGCAAAAAATATTTAAAATAAAATAAAATCAGGATAGGAGAGGATTTACCTCGAGGGGGGTTGGGAAAATGAGCTCATAGGCTGGGAGCAGGTACCAATGTGTCTGACACAGGGAACACCCTGCCCTGATCTCAGAACCCACACTGCTGACCGTTCCAGCCACAGGTGAGCCAAGACGCGGAGGAGGCGAGAGCGCCAGCACCTGGCCCAGCTCACACACCTGTTCAGAGTCGGGGCTGGGTTCAAAGGCAACCTGGACGGTGAGTGAAAAGGGTCCTGAGGCCCAGGTGAGGCAATTCCCAACCGAGGATCCCAGTTCAACCTACAGCGAGCGCTGGGCGGACAGAACCTGGTCTCATGGGCCTGGGCCTTTAGCAAAAGCCATTTGATGAACTCAGTCCCTTAGAATCGCACTCCCCCCCCCCCCCCCAGGTGCTCCACGGGGGGCCATCCAGGTGCTCCCTTGTTTTCCTGCCAATTTGCCTTTAGCACAGCTCCTGCCACTTCTGTGGCTGGTGGCTGCATGGCGAGGGGGGTAGAGAGGGAGGTTGGGGTGTAGGGAGTTGGGGTGTAGGGGGATGGGCCAACCAGAAAACCTTGGTGAGTTTCAACCCTGGAAAAGTGTCCTAATACTCTTTAAAAATAATATTTATTGATCCCAGAGAGAAAGGGAGAGGGAGAGATAGAAACATCAATGATGAGAGAGAATCATTGATCGTCTGCCTCCTGCACGCCCCACACGGGATGGAACTTGCAACCCGGGCCTGAGCCCTGACCAGGAATTGAACCACGACCCCCTGGTTCATAGGTCGACGCTCAACCACTGAGCCACCCAGCCTGGGTCCTAAGGATTTTTTCCCTCCGTCCGGATCGGCGCTTCTTGGGGTTGATGCAGCTAAATGATCGGATCCCTGGGAACTGTTGTGGGGGGAGCAAAAGGCCCCGTTGTGTTCCTTTTGAGCTGCGCTGGTAACCTGGGCCTTAGAACTGAAATCCCCGCACAGCACGTATCAGTTGTATAAAATAGTTTGTTAAACTACAGGTTAGGGGCGTTAAATGGTTAACTGACCCAAGAAGCGAAAGACGCCATCAACTTACCCCCCCGACTTGCAGGTGGTTATGAACTGGCCACAGTCTCAGCTTGGTCAGTGGGGAGAAGACGCCATTCGGGTCTAGATTCAGGCCGTCTTCTCCGCCAGCCCGGGAACCGGTCTCAGGGGCCCGTTCCCCTCCCTCGGAAGCTTCTAAGATGGAGCTTATTGTTATTTAACCGGAGCCGAGACGAACGCCCTCGGGACAGGGCGGGGCGGCCACACACCCGCTGGGGAAGTTCGCCTCCCACAAACTCACAACCTGAGGTTTACAGACCTCAACCCAGGGCTGCAGTTAACCGACTCCCGACCCCAGCCAGGTCCTGCGGCTGTTTGAAATGCGTGTTTATTTCGAGAGCATATGGACTGCCATTTCCTATACAGACTGCTCCATTTTTAGCAACACCGATCCTTTTCTTTAAAGAAAATGTTTGTACCCCATAGGTCTGGAGAAGCTAAGCTTACCTTTCTGTGCATTTCCCCCCTTTAACCTAAAGTGACATTAGCTCTTCCTAGGAGGTGGGTGGGGGCTCTGAAAAGAGCCTTTGGGTTTCAAAGCGTTTCCGGAAGCTGCGATGCCCGTCCAATCACTTGCCCTTGGCCTTGTGGTGGCTCTCGGTCTTCTTGGGCAGCAGCACGGCCTGGATGTTGGGCAGCACGCCGCCCTGCGCGATGGTCACCTTGCCCAGCAGCTTGTTGAGCTCCTCGTCGTTGCGGATGGCCAGCTGCAGGTGGCGCGGGATGATGCGCGTCTTCTTGTTGTCGCGGGCCGCGTTGCCCGCCAGCTCCAGGATCTCGGCCGTCAGGTACTCCAGCACTGCCGCCAGGTACACGGGCGCGCCCGCCCCGACGCGCTCGGCGTAGTTGCCCTTGCGGAGCAGGCGGTGCACGCGGCCCACGGGGAACTGCAGTCCGGCCCGCGAGGAGCGAGACTTGGCCTTGGCGCGCGCCTTGCCGCCCTGCTTGCCGCGTCCAGACATTAGGAAATAAAAAAAAGTCTTTGCAAAAACAAAGGTGGACACTCGCCCGAGCAGACCAGTTCTGAGAGTAGGTGGAACATGGCCGTTTTTATAGGCAGGTCCTGGGAGCAAATCGGAGTGTCTGATTAGCTAGGAACAGACTCAGGCACATAACCAATAGGAGAGTCTCATTTCTATACCTCATTTGCATAGGCCGGCCCAGGGATGACAGCCTTGGCGTTTGTCTGCCAATGAACTAAGAGGCTCTCTGCATCCCTCATTAGCATAAAGTCCCTATAAGTAGCAGAGATTCGGCCCCAGCCGCATTTTCCTCCAGGTCTCCTGAGATTTCAAAATGCCGGAACCAGCCAAGTCCGCTCCCGCCCCGAAGAAGGGCTCCAAGAAGGCCGTGACCAAGGCGCAGAAGAAGGACGGCAAGAAGCGCAAGCGCAGCCGCAAGGAGAGCTACTCGGTGTACGTGTACAAGGTGCTCAAGCAGGTGCACCCCGACACCGGCATCTCGTCCAAGGCCATGGGCATCATGAACTCGTTCGTCAACGACATCTTCGAGCGCATCGCGGGCGAGGCGTCGCGCCTGGCGCATTACAACAAGCGCTCGACCATCACGTCCCGCGAGATCCAGACGGCCGTGCGCCTGCTGCTGCCCGGCGAGCTGGCCAAGCACGCCGTGTCCGAGGGCACCAAGGCCGTCACCAAGTACACCAGCTCCAAGTGAGGTGCTTCGGCCCCTGTCAGACCCAAAGGCTCTTTTCAGAGCCACCCACGTTTTCCCGAAAAGCGCTGTAGTCAGAAACCTGAAAAACTGCGTGATCGAGTTGGGGCAAAGCCCTGAAAATTGGTTAAAACAGGTCATACAGGTCTAACCACAAACGGGCTGTGGGCTGGGAGGTGGGACCCGCCCTTATGTACGTGTGATCTTTGCTCTCGGCCAGGACTAGTGCAAAGTAACTCCCTTTTTTCCCAAATATAGCATGCGGTCTCCCCACCTTGGGTTTAAGTGGTGCTTTCTGTTAGGAACATGGGGGTGTCCGGCTGGGGTGGTTCAGTGGATTGAGCTCCTATGGACCAAGAGGTCCCGGGTTCGATTCCGGATCGGGGCACATGCCGGGGTTGTGGGCTTGATCTGCAGGAGGCAGCCGATCTGTGTCTTTCTCTGATATTTTTCACTTCCTCTTCCTTTCTACCTAAAAGTCAAAACATAAGAAAAATGAACAATGTAACTAAATCACAAGTACTTAAACATGGAAATGTTTACAGGAAATGAGGTTTACAATTACAAAAACAGGCTTTTACAATCTAGGATAAAATGCTGTGTGATTTAGAAGGATCCTGTGGTTTTCTCCAAGATCGATTTGGCACTAGGCGGTTCTCCGTTTGAAAGCAGCTCTCTCCTCACAGCTGCCTGGGGAATGGTGTCACTTGGCCTCGTTAGGGTGGAAACGCATGTGCGAGGCCCCATAAACCCCACTGATTGCTTCAAGTTCCAGTGTCTAGCGCCTCCAAAGTGCGTGCCTCCATCGCTCTAAATTCCTGTGCTGTCATGTCCTCCCAGGTTAGGAGAGAGAAGGAAAATGTCATTTATTGTAAATAGGACTAGAGCAGCGGTTCTCAACCTTGGCTGCACATTAGAAGCACCTGGGAATCTTTTTAAAATCCTGACTTCTGGGCCTCATCCTCCGGAAATCCTGTTTCTTTGTTATGGGGTGGGGCCACAACATTAGTAACATTCTTAAAATTAGTAAAATTCTTGTTCACGGGCCATGCCCCGCGTTCACGTGGGTGGCCCCCTCGTTCCTGTGACCACTCCCTCCTTCTGGCTCAGCCACACTGTGTTCACATGACTGGGTTAACCTAAAAATCATCCCAACCTGTAAAGAATCTTTGGGTTTATTTGAGCCAAACTGTCGACACTTGCAGGGAAGCAGGATCTCAGTGCACTGGGACAGGGCTCTGGAGATGGCGGTTTTCACCGTGTTTAATAAATCACCGTCAAAGGCAGAGACATAAGTGTGTCACATGAAATCTATTGGTGGTGATGAGGGAGGCGGGAGAAAGCAAAGCGGAGGTGGGGGGGGGGGACCCTGGGATTGGATAAAAGTGAAATGATGGACACATGCTGCCTTCACATAGGTAGGTGCAGGGTAGTTAACAGTCAGCAATTAACTCGGTAACAGTAACAATGAGGGAATCTGTGGTCTCCGCCCTGGAGGCTAGTTGTGCCCTGAGGGGTGGGGAAAAGGGAAGTTACCAGTTACCCTGACTTTCCCAGGTGTGTTATCTTAGATGCAAAAGGACAACGGGCTCAGGAAAGACCGAAGTTGGTCTTTGTCAGGGAGGACACTGGCCTAGGACATGACTATCCACCATCAGCTGCTTTTTAATTAAAGGCTTTAATTTCAGACCCTCCTCTGTGGTCGATTTAGGTCTCTGGAGTTGGCAAGGCCTCCACGCAGGCCTTCCCGGAGGTAGTCAGGTTAGCAGGTGGCCGCTTTTTTCATCCACAGTAGGGATTTCTTACTATTTGTTAATACAGTGAATTCAGTAAAATATGTATTGTCTTATTCATGCCGATAAGGTAAATATACTTTGGAACTGAATTTATCATTATGTGAGCTCATTGCTGTATTCTAAGTTTTATTCTGGAACTGGATAAAAGGCAAACACAAAACACTAACAGGAAGAGGGAAACTTGAGAACTCAAGTGACTTCAACATGTTGTGCCCTTGTCGAGCTTCAAATCATTTTTAAGAAACACTGATTTCACTGAATGGAATCGAACTAATCCTTGAAACTGATTCCCCTCATTGAGAAAAGCCAATTAAATATTTGGAGACAATACGGATTTCAAATATTTCTTATGTGTGATTGCCCTCCTACTCTAATATACAGATGACTAAATGTGAGAAAGAGACTCAAGTCCACATGGTCACTCTCTTTATGAAACCAAAGTGGGGGAGGCCGGGCTGAGATATTTTGATGCCGGAAATGGTACAACTGAGGCTGAGCCCCATCGCTGGTCACCCAGAGGCCGGCAGCTGCCAGGACTCCCCCAGCAACCTGGAGTCTCCAGAAAAGCCCTAATTGTTTTCTGTGACACTTCTTGGTTCCTGCAAGAACAGGTTGCTCATAGGAAGCTCTTTTCTACAGAAAATAATGCACGGCCGTATCTTGTTCCTAGACAGTCTGAAGATTTTTTCTCCCCTCTTTCTATTTTATAAATTATCTTTTAAAAATTATTTTTATTTTTAATCCTCGCCCGAGGTTATTTTCCCATTGATTTTTTTTTTTTTAGAGAGAGGGAAAGACAGAGAGAGAGACATTGATGTGTGACCAGGGCCCGGGCTGGGGAGGAGCCTGCAACCGAGGTACATGCCCTTGACTGGAATCGAACCCGGACCCTTTCGGTCCACAGGCCGATGCAGTATCCACTGGGCCACACCGGCTGGGGCTGTAAATTATCTTGTTAACATTCTGGGTGAAACCAATCTATTGTTTTCACACCTTGTTCGCAGCACAGGATGTGTTAACAATTAGCTAAATGTCGGAGTTACTATGACAACCGCACAGCTCTGAGCCTGCCGGGTGGTAATAATTACCGACTGGGGAAGGTGGGGTGAGGGTGGAATGAGATGGCAGCTGTGAAACACAGACCAGAAACAGATCGTGCTGGCGCAGTGGCTGTGCAGCATTGCTCCACCGCGAGCAAGTGCAGGCTCTGGGATGGGCCTGAACTTGCTTTTAAGATTTTCCAAATACCTGACCCACAGTGAGACGGGGCCTTGCCCAGTGCACTGCCTGTGGCCTCATTCTTTTCTCTCTCTCTCTCTCTCTCTCTCTCTCTCTCTCTCTCTTCTTCCCCCATCTTTTTGATTGTTTGTTTGTTATTTTCTCTTCTTTTTTTCTTCTTCTTGCTCCTCTCTCTCTTGTTCTGCAGCCAGATTTGCCCACACCCTGCTTTTCCGTCTCCTGCCTCCCACATATGCCGGGCCTCTGTGTTAGATTCCCCCGCTCCCTCCTTCCTGCCTTGAAAACTCCTCCTGACCCTGCAGGCATCTGCCTGCCCTGGCCTTCCCGGGGAGGGTTCCGTGACCAGCCCCTCCCGTGGTTCTGGGTAATGCCACACAGTTTCCACTTGATTGTCTTTGATTGTCCAGCTGTCACCCAATAGGGTCTGAGCTGGCCCAGAGGGTGGACGCTGACCTATGAACAAGGAGGTCTCGGACTGAAGGGTCCCGGGTTCTATTCCAGTCAAGGGCACATGCCCGGGTTGTGGGCTTGATTCCCAGTAGGGGGCGTGCAGGAGGCAGCCCATCGATGATTCATCATTGATGTTTCAATCTCCCTCTCCCTTCCTCTCTGAAATCAATAAAAAAAATTTTAAAAAATAAATAGATTTAAAAAAGACAGCTTAAATGTAACATACAGGACACTGACTAGATCATATTCATCCTTTATTTAAGAGCGTACATAGACTCAGGTGCTAGGGGTTGTGGGTTAACATCCAATAGCTGTGTCCCCTGGGAAACTACCTCTCCTAGCCCTCCTCTCCTCGTCCCCAAATCAGAGAGAATGATGGGAGGTTGTCGCAGGTTAAATGCACTGGTGGATCTACAAAGTGCCTACAACAGTGCCTGGCACAGAACAAACCCCCGTGAATTGCCCATCACCGTTATGACTGCTATTCTCAGAGTCTAGTACAATATCAGGTATCTGATGAATTATAGAAGTGAGTTAACCAATCTCTCCCTTTTTACAGGAGGAGAAAATGGGCTTTAGACACGTCTTTCCCCATCATTGGTTACTGCTGGACACTGTGACATCTCACTAGCCAATGAAAATGAGAGATACTAGAAAATAAGCGCATATTTCTAGCAATTGTGGAAGAATAATTAAGAACCTGGCTTAAAACATCATTTTTTTCCTCTGAGTATAAAAATATTAAATGTGCCATTGTAGAAATTTGTGAAAAGAGAACTATATAAAGGAAATATAGGTATCATGCTATATATTTTTACATACATACAATTTCTAGGGAATATGCTTAGAAACACAATTTTTATAGATGTTGCTATTTGTGTAATTAGTCTTCTGTTATTGGCTGTTTAGACTGAGTTCCATCTTTATGCATTATAGATCATACAAATCACACATCTTTGTATATAAATCTATGTTTTAATATTCAATTACTTCCTTTGGATAGAATTCTAGAAGTAGAAATACTAAACCACAAGGTAAAATCATTTTCAAGGCTCTTAATACACATTGCCAACTTTTCATTCAGAAGGGCATGCCAATTAATAATCCCGACATAATATGGAAATTTCTGTTACAGAACTCATATTTACACAGATTTTTTTTTAAAGCACTGTTAACCTGTTAACCTGTTAACCTGTGTGTGGAAGTTTTACTTATTTCATTATTAGTGAGGGTAATTTCCCCCCTCACACATTTCTCTTAGCTATAACCCCATAAGAAACTGCTGAAAAACGATGGACATAATTGTAATTGTTCCATGGGGAGGCGCTATGTAAAAATAAATAGGATCTTAGGTTAAAAAAACTACAACAACAAAATAAACACCTAATATTTATCAGGTGCCTCCTCTGCCCAGGACTCTGCTGGATTAAAAAACTGTTTGGTTGCATTCAACTGAAACTATTACCTACCTTGTCTCTTTTATACACATTTTAAAATATATTCTTACTGATTTCAGAGAGGAAAGGAGAGAGGGAAGGAGAGAGAGAGAGAGAGAGAGAGAGAGAGAGAGAGAGAGAGAGAGAGAGAGACATGTGCCCTGACCGGGAATCCAACTGGGGACCCTTCAGTCCACAGGCGGAGGCTCTATCCATTGAACCAAACCGGCGAGGGCCACCTGATCTCATACGCCTCCTAACTTCCCCATGAGAAAGGTTCTCTTGACTGTATCAAGACAACTGCAACAATGCACAAACCTTCTCTTTATAAACCTCCCGCGTCTCTGCCGTCTGCAGAACTGCCAGTTCCTCAGGCAATCAGGGGGGCATCTTCCCGCGGTTTCCTCTGCCGACCCTGGCCTCTGACCCACTGCACTGCTCCCTCGGCGGCCTTCTGGGAGGCCCCACCTTAGTGAGCAAACTCAGATCCTGACCTCTCCCTACGGTGAGTTCCAGGACACGCGGAGAAACACCCTGGACAATTGTCCCCATACCTCACCCCCCACAGCTCTGCAGACACACCTGCCAGCCACGCCTGGGCCTGTGGTCTGGGTCTGTGGTTCCCATGAAGGTGACCTGATTTATTTATTTTTAATATGTTTTTATTGATGTCAGAGAGGAAGGGAGAGAGAGAGAGAGAGAGAGAGAGAGAGAGAGAGAGAGAGAGAGATCAATGATGAGAGAGCATCATGGATCGGCTGCCTCCTGCATGCCCCCTACCCGGGATCAAGTCCACAACCTGGGCATGTGCCCTGATGGGGAATCGAACCACAGCCTCTCCTGGTTCACAGGTCGACACTCAACCCCTGAGCCACGCTGGCCGGGCTGGGTGACCTGGTTTGGGCCAGGCAGACACCATGTGTGAGCTCAGTGCTGCTGGCTCCATCCTCGAGGCTCTCTGATCAGGCTGCAGGGACCCAGGGCTGGTTTTTGTCAGAAGCAACCCACACACCTTGCAGATTATGGCTGATCAGATTGTGTTTGTCCAAATAAGGGCAGACCCTGCAGCTTTTAGACGATTCTAGAAGCATCCAATCCTGCAGGAGGCCTCTAAGAAATCTGTGTTAGTTCCTTCACATTCATGCACAGTTGTCGATAAAATCTGGGGCAGGACTCATGTCTTCTCTCCGCTCCACCATTTGGAAGGTCACTGAGAAAAGCTGGCATAAGTCTCCTGCCAAAAAGCAATGTTACATTTACAAGGGAAAGAGGAAATCTGGCGCTTCTCCTTGAATTTGCTGACAGTCGAGGGTTTTGTGGAGTCGTTTGGGCATCTTGGGCCATTTTTCATGAAAAGGTGAGAAGGCGTGTGAAGTCCAGCTCGCCAAGCACCCTCCGGCCGGGGAACCGGGCCCTTCTGTGCAGACGATTTTTGTGGGCTTCAAGTTTTGGGGGGAAAACAAACACAAACGCTCCTCCCCGCGAGGGGCGGGGCGAGGCCTAGGCGACGCACCAATCAGAGCACGCCCTGCCCTATATAAGGCGTGAGGGCCCCCCCGGCCGGCGCTTAACCCTCCTCCCTGGCTCTCCTCCGTGGACCCTCCGCCCTGTGATGTCCGAGACGGCCCCTGTGGACCCGGCTGAGCCTGGCCCGGCTTTCATGGCGAAGCCGAACATCAAGAAGCGAGGGAAGAAGCAGGTGGGCCTGGCGGGTGTGAGTCGCAAGACGCCAAGCCCGTCGGTGTCCAAGGTGATCACGGAGGCCTTGTCGCTGTCGCAGGAGCGGGCGGGCATGTCGCTGGCCGCGCTCAAGAAGGCGCTGGCGGCCGCGGGCTACGACGTGGACAAGAACAACAGCCGCATCAAGCTGGTGCTCAAGAGCCTGGTGAGCAAGGGCACCCTGGTGCAGACCAAGGGCACCGGCGCCTCGGGCTCCTTCCGGCTCAGCAAGAAGGCGGCTCCCGAGCTGGTCAAGGTCAAGAAGGCCGCGTCCGCCAAGGGCAAGAAGCTGGTCTTGTCCCGGGAGTCCAAGTCCCCCAAGAGCTCCAGCGCCAGCAAGAGAGCTCAGAAGCCGCGGGCATCGGCATCGCCGAAGGCCGCCCGAGGCGTCAGGAAGGCGGCGGGGCCCAAGGGCAGGCCCCCGCGGAAGAGCCCGGCCAAGGCCAAGGCCGACAAGCCCACGGCCGGGAGGCCCAAGGCGACCCAGCAGAAGACCAAGCCCAGGAAGGGAGCCTCTAAGAAGTAAAAGGCCAATCTTCAAAAAAAAGGAAAACGACACAAAATAAACCCAAAGGCTCTTTTAAGAGCCACCCAAGTCGCAGTAAAATGGCATAGCACTGGGGCTGCTGGAAGTTCACGACCGCCAGGTCAACCTCCTTGCAAGCGTGCGATGAGATGGAATGTTTGGTTAGACGCGGACAGGTCTATTAGGACCGACCTGTGTGCAGATCTGCCTGAAAGTCCCCCAGCGATGCCCGGCTCGACGCCGGTTGTACACTCCGCTAGAATACCTCATGCCTTGTGTCAACTTAGGCTTTACTGGAGGTGCCAGTGTTACGTAAAGAGAAAGGGTGGAGAGCTGCTCACAGCCCCAACATACCTTAATTTTTCTTTAACAAGTGCCACATTTATGTGGTGTCATCCTAATGAGGTTTTTTATTGATTGCAGAGAGGGAGAGAGGAGCATCAATGAGAATCGGCTGCCTCCTGCACTGGGCCCCACTCTGGGGATGGAGCCCACACCCAGGCTTGTGCCCTGACCTCCTGGTTCTTAGGTTGATGCTCAACCTCTGAGCCATGCCAGCCGCGCAAAAGGTTTCTTAAGTCTGGTGTCCACGGGCATTGTAGGGGTCATGCACAGACATCAAACTGTCAGAATTTGGATTATAAAGAATATCTTTAACATCTTTAACGTTAAACTGGTTTTGTTTACATTATGAGTGTGATTAATCAGTAAAAGTCACAAATATTTACAGTTGTCACAAGAGTATTGAAATGCTACTTATCCTTATTTCCATAGTATATAGTTACTATGCTATGGTCACATTTTTTAAAAGTTGGTTTGATAATATGATTGCTCTGTTTAATACGATTGTGATTCCATGTATTTTATTTAGGAAGAGTGTATAGATGGTGCCCCACAGGCAGAAAAATGCTAATCCTGGTCTTTAGGGAAATGGTGGAGGCTGCACAGTTAGGGTCTGAATCAAACATTTGTAAACAAAAATTGCTTGTATTGGAAAACGCTCCAAGTTAATGTGTGTTTCTCATTTTAAAATTAGCTTGTTTTCATTGTGATTTGGCATTCTTATTTAAAATCATCGTAAATATGAAATTCATACTGTTAATCCTATTCTGGGCCTTGGTGTTTGAGTGCAAAAGGATGTTCCGCATCCTTCCAATTCGAGCACCTTCTCCAGGTGGCTCACTAGCTCTGACCCTTTCAGAACTCATTTGTACAACTGGGCCTCTAAGAAAAAGATTTAAATTGTGTCTCATGGAAAACGACTGACATCATGGCTTCAGTTTGTGTAGAATGAGCCCCGAGCCCAAACCTCGCTTGGATATGACGCCCAGTTTCCTTGGAGGGTGGAAATGTTCTGCTCTGGAAATAGGCGTTGGTCACCTGACAAGCGGCGGACTGACCTCGGACCCGCAGACCCTCCTATCTCCCAGGAAAAGGGACCAACAACTGGCCTCATCCCACCCTGCAGCCAGGGGTCTCCCAGCATCGCTCGAATCACAACGTCTATAACCCGTTCCTCCACCCCATGGGCCCCTGTACTCCTCTGGCCTTTTAGCGCCCGGCACACAGCAAGTTAACAGCAGCCAGGGCGGCGTGGCTCAGTGGTTGAGGGTTGACCTTGAACCAGGTCACAGTTCAATTCCTGGTCAGGGCACATGCCTGGGTTGCAGGCTCCATCCCGTTGGGGACGTACAGGAGGCAGCCGATCCATGATTCTCTCTCATCATTGATGTTTCTCTCTCTCTCTCTCCCCATCTCTGAAATCAATAAAACAACAAAAATAAAGCCACCAAAGTCTTCCCTACCGTTCTGGGAACAGCAATTAACCCCCTTCCTTAGCCACAGAAAAATGGCCCAGTAATCCCAGCCCCGACATTTAACCTGGTTTTCCGCCCCCACCGGGTATTGTCCCTGGGAGCTTGTCCCCAAGAGGCTTCATTGACATAACCGCAGCCCATCATGAGATGGTTCTGGAAATCTTCAAACGGCCTTTGGTTTTGTTCCAGAAAGCGAGTCTGTGGATTCAACCTGAGGACATAACACTTTTTATAACCATAATGTTTGAATGGTCCATAACAACAAAAAATTTTCCACCGTTTATAGCTGGCACATTTAAAATGGAAAACGAAAAAATAAAAGGAAAAATAAAAAGGAAAAACAGCTGGGAGCCCTGGGAGTGGGGTGGGGTGGGGTAGGCGCCTGAGCGCTGGTGCGGCAGGATCTCTCCCTTCACAAACGCGAAGCCGGGCCGTCAGGGCGGAGGGAGTTAGAGACCAGAGTTAAAGCCCCGACCCCCTTAGTCAAAGGTAATTAACAAACAGCTTGGCCTCGGGCTTAGGGAGGGGCCCGGCCTGAGAACAGAAATCTGCAAAGGTCATTACATTTACACCCAAACCGTGGAAAGAAGGGGGAGGGGTGAGTTCACAAAGTGTGAAGAGCTTTCCCGACATCGCCCGGGGCAAATAGGTCAGGAATTAACACCCAGCCTTTCCGTCCAGGTCGAATTCTAAGCAGTGGGTTACTGTGCGCTGTCTCCCTGCACCTCACACACCGGATTTGTAAAGTCTATTTAACTCCCCTCCCCCTTCCTCATTCCCCCTCCATTAGGAACCAGGCGGACCGCCCTCCCAGGGCTCCCGCGCCACAGCAAACTTCTCCCCAACCACGGCCTGTGGTCGTTTTTATAGGGGACACGAAGAGTAAAGTCCCTGCCAGAAAAATTAAGTGGATCCTCCAGAAATCCATATTCTCCGATGAAAGCCCGAACCTAGCGAGGACCTCTCCCATTTGCTTGCTCCTGCGGGTCACCCCAGGAGCCACTGCTCCCTCCCGATGAGCCGAAGGCGCCGGCGCCCGGCGAACCGAAGATTAAGGCCGCGCCGACATCAAACATAAGTGTCCACAACTAAACCAGCACCACAGCGCGCAGCTCTTCCGAGAGGGGGTGGGCGGCCCTGAAAAGGGCCTTTGGGGGGACACGAGGCGGGGGGACGGGCTCAGCCGCCGAAGCCGTAGAGGGTGCGGCCCTGGCGCTTGAGCGCGTAGACCACGTCCATGGCCGTGACCGTCTTGCGCTTGGCGTGCTCCGTGTAGGTGACGGCGTCGCGGATCACGTTCTCCAGGAAGACCTTGAGCACCCCGCGCGTCTCCTCGTAGATGAGCCCGGAGATGCGCTTGACGCCGCCGCGCCGCGCCAGGCGCCGGATGGCGGGCTTGGTGATGCCCTGGATGTTGTCGCGCAGCACCTTGCGGTGGCGCTTGGCGCCGCCCTTGCCCAGGCCCTTCCCGCCTTTGCCGCGACCCGACATGGCTGCAGTTGCAGTGAAGGCTCGCGCTCCTCGCAGCCCTTTAAATAGAATGTGTGCGGACCTGATTGGGAACCACAAGCGCCGCGTTGTTTTTTTTCTAAATTAGGTCATCGCAGGGGCGGAGCGAGGGGGAAGAGGAACATCTCAACGTTGTGATTGGCCAGTGAACCTGGGCTTATTCGGGCTGGAGGGGCGGTGGGTGGAGGGGCGGGGATTTTATTTTCTTGAAAAGCTTTGGTTTCTTTTCTGTCTGAATGTTTTTTTCATGCTATTTGATTGATTGGGTCCATTTTCCTGTTGTATGACGCGGGAAAAGGTTCGCTCAATCTTTTTATTTCCACTGAGAAACGAGTACACTATGTAATGGTTCCCTGGGGGATGTAGACATAGTAAGGATGGATTTGTCGGTGGAGGGACTTTTCCTTTTATATTATTCCTGTTTTAAAAGACGTATTTTGACGGCTTTTTCTGTTTTGGAGAAAGTGTAAGCCTGGCCATGAAGAAGCTCCGGGCCCAAGGGTCCAGTGTTTGGACAGATGGAAAGGCTGACAAAGAATTGAACATTAAAACCTCTTCTTTTCTTCAACATTTGAACATTTACTAGTTGACTCCTTTGTATGTAAAGCCTGAGTCGGGAGCATAGCGCTAAACTCCAACAAGCAGTTGTCTGGACCCTGTTTCTGGCCGGCACAGCTTTGCCTGCAATTCCTAACCAGCTCCCTTTCCTCCTTTATTAATCCCTTTCTACCTTTTTAGAGACAAGAATAAACGTTTTGTAGAACGGGATTAAGTGTTGGGGAGGGCTAATACGTGATTAAGGTCATCACAAAGCCCTCAGGGCCTTCCCCTGAGGCGCCTTTGATGAGGTTATTGGTATTGTAAACAAGGCTAAAGCAATTTTTGAAATTTTCCACTGAAAGAGTCACTCCAGTTGAAAGGGGAAAGAGAGACACCTCTCCCCATTCTGGTTAATAAATAAATGCCTATTTTGGAAATTTAGAATGAAACTGTTAATGTAAAAAACAAACAAACATGCAAACTTGTAAAGAATTTTTGTGAGTTTATTTGAGCCAAACTGTTGACAATGGCCGGGAAGCAGGATCTCAGTGTATTGGGATAGTGCTTCGGAGAATGGCAGTTTTGCACGTTGTTTTATACATTACAACCCAAGGAGGAGAGGTAAGTGGGTGACAGAAATCCATTGGTGATGGATTAGGGAGGGATTGGATAAAAAGTGAAACGATGGACTCATGCTTCCTCTGCACAGGTGGGTGGGTACAGGGTAGTTAAGGGTCACAATTAACATGATAACAATAACAATGAGGGATTTCTGGTTCCAGTCCTGGCGCTATTCGTCATGCCCCGAGGGGTCCGGAAAAGGGAAGTTACAAGTTACCCTGACTTTTCACAGGTGTTATCTTAGATGCAAAAGACAACAGGCTCAGTAAACATCGAAGATGATCTTTGTCCGGGAAGATACTGGCCTGGGGCTTGACTACCCACCATAAACTTCTCTTTAACGGACAGATTTTAATTTCAGACCATCCTTTGCGGTGACTTTAGGTCTTGAGTTTGCAAGGCTGTCACGCAGGCCTCCCCTGAGTCAGGTTAGCATGTGGCCCCTCTTCCCCAAGACTGGCCTTAGAAGGACCACAATCATCAGACTCCCGTCAGGGGAGAGGGGAGAGGGGAGGCGGGGGTGGGGGGTGGGGGGGGGCACAGAATGACCCCAGGACAGGGAGAAAGCTCTGAGTGGCACATGCTTTTTGTATCGCTTTAGAGCTGCCCCAATGGTTACATTCTTCCTCCCCCAACTGAGAGTTGTTAGGGCCCCGACTTTCACTGCCCCCCCACCCCCCCCCCACCCCCGCCTACACACAAGGTGTAACGCAGGAGCAGCTCAGAGGGCCCGCCCTGCGCTGGGGTTTCAGACACAACAGACCCAACCGCAAGGCCAGCAGCCGCGGCATGCGCAGAGGAGAGAACTTGACCCCCGCGCACCGGGAATCCACGGACTCCAGACGGGCCGGGAACTAAACGGGGAGCCCTTTCTGAAGCCGAGGTCCACTGTCCAGGCCTCTGACCATAAAGAGCCAAGTTCCAAGGTCCTCCCATTGAAACGTGACCGCCAGGCTTCCGCATCCTGTTCCCCTGAACCTTAAAACCCATATATATATTTCAGAGAGGAAGGGAGAAGGAGAGAAGGATAGAAACATCAGTGATGAGAGAGAATCATTGATTGGGACCTGCACACCGGGCCTGTGCTGCGATGGAAAATCGATCCTCGACCTCCTGGCTTATAGGTCAGCGCTGAGCCACACTGTCCGACAGGTGTCTTGTTTTTTAAGTGTGTGTGTGTGTAAAGAATGCCTCCAGTACATGCTGTTATTATATAACACATTTTTGCTTATACCTCCCAGCAGCCCTTCACCAACTGTGCACAGTTGACCAGTCTTGTTTGCCTTCTGTCTGAGTCCAGCGATTCGCAGAACTGGTGACATTTCTTATTTCCTCCCATTTCCAGGTGCTTTTCTTCACCAGGGATGACCTCCAGGGCCCCAGCCCCAGCTCCCGGTGTCTCAGGGCCATTGTGCTGTTTGACTGTGGCCACCAGAGGGCGCCCGTCTCCGCAATACCAGGCTTAGTAGGCGGCTTTGCCAGAAGCCAAATAAGTTAACAGTATTCAGCCTGGCTGCCCTGGCCCAGTGGGTGAGCTTTGACCTATGAACCAGGAGGTCATGGTCACCACACAGGCCTGGGTTGCGGGCTCGATCCCTACTGGGAGGCGTGCAGGAGACAGCTGGTCAATGACTCTCATCATGGATGTTTCTATCTCCCTCTCCCTTCCTCTCTGGAAAAAAAATAAAAAAGATTTTAAAATGTAAAGTTTGGTTTTTCAAATGCAAGTTGACCTGAAGAACTGATGAACGAGGCAAGAAAACTTAAGCTAAGAAAGACTGAAAGACAATGGAGATTTTTAACGTCAGCTATAAAGAAAGGACAATGAACAGGTCCCAGTGGCAGATGGCAGATGGTTCATAACTGTGTTCCTGTAAAGACTAGGGAGGGTGTTTCTAGAAACCTCAGCCTGTGAAATAAAGCCAATAGGAAGCAAACGGTTGCCTAGTTAATTGTAACATATCCTGGAGGGGGTAGAAGGATGCTTCTTGGCTGATGCCTTGGGGACAGGAGGAAATACATACATGTACATACATGTACAGCGAAAGCATGTGTCCCTGTGCTTCCAGCATGGGTTGGAGGGAAGATCGTTACTGGACACCAGGCGTTCCCGCTTGGGGTGCTCTGCTCCGGAGGGGGACGCTGTCCTCCAGCAGTTTCCTTCCGTTCCTTCCAGCAAGTAAAGGAGACAGAGACTCGCCCACGTGAGCCTCACAGAGGGAGGCCGAGCCGAGGCCTAGCCACACGGTCTGGTCCGCTCCGTGCTGATTCCTCGTTCGCAGTCGGCGGAACCTACCCGGTTGGGGTCAGGTCACGCCCATCTGGTTAGAGCTGCGTCTGCAAAACACTGTTGTGCATGTGAACATTTAGCGAGAGCTGCCCAGACCTGAGACCCTTGTGGGAGTTAACAAAATAACCAAGGTGCTGCAATTTAGATGGCAATATTTCTGGAGCAAAGAAAAACAGTGAAGTCATCTATCAGGGTTTAATGAAAATAGTCCATGAAACAAATTGTAAGAAATTTAGAAGCAGTAAAAGTTCTCCCAAATAACATAATCCTGTATAGTAGAAGGGTAACATGCAAATCGACTGAACAGGGGAATGACTGGTCGCTATGATGCACACTGACCACCAGGGGGCAGACACTCAGCGCAGGAGCTGCCCCCCTGGTGGTCAGTGCGCTCCCACAGGCGGAGCTCTGCTCAGCCAGAAGCCCGGCAGCTGTGGTGGCGGGAGCTTCTCCCACCTCCGAGGCAGCGCTAAGGGGCAGTGAGCAGGCGGGTGGTAAGGAGCGAGGGCTCCCAGACTGCGAGAGGGCTCAGGCCGGGCTGAGGGACTCCCCCCACCGAGTGCACAAATTTTCATGCACTGGGCCTCCAGTAAGTATATAATTTATATGTAAGGCAGGAAAATACAGCAGAAAAAAATCATGCAGTTCTCAACACAATTCATCATGCATTTATTAAAATATGTGCATTGGATGCCTATTATATTTTCATACAGCAGTAAGACGGAGGAGCACACATTATTAATAGAGTTTATCATTGGCGAGTGGAATGATAATTTCAAGTTAATTCCTTTTCAACGTTTCTATAGCAAGCACATGTTACATGTATCCTTATCCAATTGAAAAAGTAGTTGAGATCTCTTTGCCCAAATTCAGTACCTACCAGCACACTTTTGAGCTATATTTGGTCTCATGAGGCACCTGCCCTCTGAGACAGAAGGCCTCGTACCACAGCTTTGCAACCAAATATATGCAGCAGCAGCAAGAAAGCACAGGCCAGCCCTGGCCAGTGTGGTTGAGTGGTTAGTCAGCCCTTGCACCAAAGGGTCGCATGTTTGATTCGTGGTCAAGGTCCGGTGTAAGGACCCAGGTCCTCTCCATAGAGGAGACCAGAGGGCGGGGACAGAGGGGCCACTGCAGGACAGAGATGGGGAGAATCGAAAGGAAAGGGGTTCGGGAAGTGCGTGCACCTGTGCACATTCGCGGTAGGAGGACGGATGCCCTGAGAGAAGCCGCAGGCTTTTCTCGCAGCTTCCAGAGAATCCCGAGTCCAGCAAACTTCAGCAGCCTCGCTGCGGAGGGAGGAGCTGAGATGAGCCGGCGCGTGGAGTCTCAGGGGGCGGGAACCGAGGCAGGCTCTCCCTGCAGCCTGGGACCCAGAGAGCCAGCTCTCAGAGCAGTCGCCGCGAGGTGTCAGCAGGTAGGAACCCAAGATGTAAACGGGGGACGGCAGAGAGCAGGGGTTCCTGGGCCGGCTCCCATCTGCGGGTGCAGCTCTGTCCTCCAGCACCAAGGTCACCCGGGCGCCCGCTCTGAGTCTCCGACCGGCTCCTG